GTTGATTGTGACGTCGACACTGGCACGAGTGAGGATGAACTCCTTCAGCATTTTGAACTTGTCCAGGTACCCTCACCCACTACTAAAACGCCATCAAAACCGCTTTGTACGAAAAGGCAGTTCTCAGAATGACGACTTCAGTTCGCATGCATTAGAGACGAAGTCTGATCTAATATTTTCTCGGCATGCACCTCTGCGACCCAATTACTGTAGGAAAGGGGAGATGTCTTAAACTTTTAAGAAATTTGATGACTTTTTCAGGGTGACAAAATAAAGTTTTTGAGCTTTCTAAGTAACACTTTAAAGCCGAAAGCAATTTTATGGAGAAAACAGGCCGAAAATGACATTTTTGGTTTTTGTGGATAGTTTTTATCAAAAAATTGCGTTTTTCTTCAGCTCGCGGTTCGTAAATTTAGAGGCGTCCTTAGAGCAGTTTAAGGGTTGGTTGGTCGAAAATGGATCAAGGGGTAGAATCCCTGAGGGTGTAGGGCGTCCGAGACTTTTTTTCCTTTGAATCTGCACCTCCGCTACAGATGATTTTTTTTTTCATTTTTTGCTAAAAACTAGACACATTAACCGAATAAAAGCAAACATTTCGAATTTAAATGAGAACAAATACGACTGATATTTTCAAAGTACTGACCAGTATTCCACTTCAAGTACGATTGGCACACTCAAATTGATAATGGAGCTTCCTTTTGCATCCTCGCGAGTCGATTTGCTTTCGACCACCGGTTGACCAGAACTCACTTCCAGAGATGTACCTGAACAAGAAGGCGATTAAAAGATTTTGTTCTGAGTGGCTAGTCTATTTTATGATGACTTGTCTGTTTTGGGGTACGCAGAAAACTTGCAAATTTGTACAAAAATTTTGTCTGCTCTTACCAAATGGGCATCAATAAATAGTCATTGCGTAGCGTTTGCATTTTAAAAAATTGTTTCATTTTTCGAAAGATCAGCTTGGTGTGTCAACTTGACAGAACAAAATGGTATATTGGTCCCTTGCTGCGTGGGTAATTGGCACTCAAAATGCACTTGTCACTAACCTCGCTGAACAGAATTGGTTTTTGCGTAACGTGTCATAGTCGACAAAGTGTCAGACTTGAAGTCCAACTTAAATGCCTATTTAATATGAACAGTTATATCCTCTGTTTGAAAACGTTGCCCGTTAAAAGTAACAATTACATCCTTTGAATGAAAAATTTACTGTTAGTTAAAGTAAACAGTTGCTACTCTGTTTGTTTTGGGAAATTAAATGGAACCAACTTAGTCAGACGAGGTGGGCCCCGATGATGGAGCACTAAGAGATTTTTTGTTTTACAGCTGACCGGAATATTTATGCTTGGGGTGGTTTTTTATTAAGTCTATTTTCGGCGATTGAAACAATAGTTGATATTTGACTCCCTGAAATCAAATACAAAAAGAAACTTTACCTCCAATTTTTTGCAAAGTTTTGAGAGTTTGAAAATTTAGCCATGCTCTGGAGTAATTTACGCGCGTTTTGATGATTTTATTTATAGTGCTGGAACCATAACACAAATTATTTGTGCGTGGTGAATTATCCCGCTCAGAAAATTGTTTGAAATCGAATTGAGGCTAGCTAGTCGATCGTATTAATGTCGTAAGACATTAATTTTTACACTTGAACTTTCAACATCGCCAAAATTTATAGTTTTATAATATTTTCTTTTCGCAAAAACTATTCTATATGAAATAGGGAGCAGTCGGAACTATCAGTGCTTTGCCCTGATGTACGAGCAGTCTTGTTTTCTCTTTATAACGAAAAAACAGCTGGGATTTAAAAATAAATACACAAGGGAAACGGAAAGTAGACGACAAGCAATTTAGTCGATCACTAAAAAAAACGGAATTAAGACAATAACATGCCTGCAAAATGCGGACTTAAATTTACTTCTGTTTGAGTAAATTTTGGTTGTTCATCTAGATATCAAGACAATAAAGTAATTGCTGTTTAACTTATGCGTTTCAAAAATGTAAGCTACTTTAAATGTTTTATAATTACATTAAAATGATAATTTTGATCATAAACTCTTTTTGTTTTGTGTAACTTCATTCTAAACAAAAAGTTTTGTTGGCCCAAGAATTATTGTCCTATTTCCTTTTTTTTTACTGCCGCCTAATTTCCTAGGCCCCTTATTTAATTGAGTAGCAGAGAAGAAATGGATCACCGTTGAATGTTTGTCATTCTCAAAACTTCAGTAAAGATTGTCAAAATTGCAATCTGTTTTGGATAATTTTTTTCGACTATTGCTCTTATTTTGTCAAGTTATTTTGGGGGTATTTTGAACTCATGCAATTTTGATCAAAAAAAGTGAGCAGACACAAAATGTGAACCAAGGTAGTTAATTGTCGTGGAAACTGACTGCGTATATGCTTTTATTGCGCTGAGGTTATTTATTTTCAAATTTGCTCGAAGACTCTCTGGTAGTGTATTAAAACTTAACCACTCTGATCAGTCATACAAAATTTTGGAATAAAAAAGTCTTGAAAATTATTTTCGACGCTGACGAACGAATTTTTGTTTTACCACTTTGTTCCACGACATTGTATTTTCCACAATTTGTTTTCCATTTTATATTTTCCACTTCTGTAGTTTTCCACTTATGTAGAAACGTCTTAAGCAAGCCAGCAGACAAACATGCTTAAAATATTCAATCTGTTGTGACGGAGGAACCGACTCCTGGAATAATAACATGATGCTATCAGAATTGAGTGTTCAAAACACTGAAAGAAGTTGCGAATATTTCTAACAAAAGTAACGGAACATTTTTGCTTGGGGTGTTTTTTTTCAGACAAATTTCGACTTTTTAACAAGTCAATTTTGACGGCATTGTAAAATATTATTCAAAAAGTTTTGTTGTTCTGAGCTTTAATGTGAAAATGTTTTTCACCTGTGATCAGTTTTTGTAAAGTTATGGGAGTTTAAGCAATGCAATTTTTATTTATTTGGGACAATTAACGCTCGATAAATTTCGCACTATTAACGCGTAATCGAAGAATTAATCCGTCTTAGAAATGGTTCCAAATTGGTTGAAGGAAGCTTATTTGCCATTATTGATTTGTTACTAGGAGCGAAACTTATCACTTGGTGTTTTATATGGCGTGTGGGGAATGATTTTCTCTAAAAACCTCAAGATTTAGATTTTTGTTAAATTTAGTTTTTTATTTTTTATATTTTATTGTTACTAATGCTCCATAGATCTTAAAAGGCAGTCGGAACATTCAAAGCTTCTCGGAACAATCAAGGCAATCGGAACATTCAAAGGCAGTCGGAACATTCAGACCTGATACGAGCTGTCTTGTTTAAATTTTTTTTTCATTTTCTAAACGGGCTCGGCTCATGTACATTGGCTTAGTCAACTTAAGATGCATAATTTTAAAGTTTTTTAAATGCTTTTGGCTGTTTCATTAGGGATGTGTCGGAGAAGATTCTGTTTTTACACATGCGCAGCGTCGTGTCATGAGGTATTTGAATAATTTGCATTCAGCATTCAAAATTTTGCAAAAAACTATCGGAGGTAAAATGTCTGTTTAAAAATTGATTCAGAGAGTCGATATCTTGTTTAAAAGTTACTATAAAAATTCAGTAGATTTTGGGTAAAAACACCTGTAACGGTAAATTTGTCGGAATATTAGTTTTGTCGCGAATATAACTAGTTGTTCCAAATTCCGCAAATGTGAGCGAATTCCGCAAAATGTAAGCAGATTTCGCAAATTTAAGCGGATTCAACCAATATGAGTGAATCACGGTTTTTTTTTATTGAATTGAACCAGTCCTTGCGTGACCAATCAGATGATATTGCTAGAATTTTTACGTACAAATGTGGAATTTAAAAGCAAAAACTTAACTATTGGTAGTGGAATCCAATGACATTTTTAAATCAATGTTCAACCCGTGAATGTACCCTTTTATTGTTAAGAACTAAATTAAATTAATAAAAAGGCGTCGTTATAACGCATGAAATAGTTTGGCGGACGCCCATTCCCTCAGGGATTCGACCCCCTGCCGACCCAAAGGGTCTCTCCTTTGGTACTTCTTAAGAAATCTAGTTTTGTTCGACCAACCCTAAAATTTTTCTACAGGCGCCTTTGGCGCCAATATATAGTAATTTTGAGGGGGAGCGCGCGCCGAAAAACGCGATTTTTTGGTCAAAGTTTTTCATAAAGTGCCTAAAAATACCTTTTGGACTGTTTTTTAAAAGTTTTACCTGCGGCGCAAAAAATTTGGGCAAAACAGGGACTAAACCGAGCTTAGGGAGAGCTCAAAAAATCAATTCGGTCGACCTAAAAAAAGGTCGAAAAAATTTTTCGAAATTTTTTTGAAAATCCGAACCCCCCCTCGAGAAAAACCAACATCCGCCCCTGAGTATAGTTGTATACCGCACATTAGTAGAAGTTTTAGGAGACTCCTTTAAGTTTAGGGTTTTAAAGTTGTCGTTCAAGTTGCGTTTTTAAGATGAACATGTGCTGCGCCATGTTATAGAATATTTGAAAAAAAAACGAATCAAGTTAGAACTTCTAGTTTGATTCTTTCCTACGCCCCCCGACCTCTTTTGAATTTCAAGCTTGAAAAATTATTTTAACATTGTCATAAAAAACATAATCAAAAGCAGCTCAACTTCACAATTTCAAAGTAAAAAATAAATGGTTTTACAGCTCTTTGAATTTCAAGAACAACTTATGATTGAAACTTATTTGATTTAAGAAAATCTCATTTTTGGAAAACTGAAATCTGAAAAATAGATTCCGTTTTTGAAATTAGAAGGCGGTCACTTTCGTAATCGGAGAAGTGCACGAATTTTTCATATTCGCCAGAATTTCGCAGAAACATCACTTGGTAAGTATGTTAGCACAAAGGTTATTTTTCAGAAAATCACTATCAAACCTATCCTGAGAATTGATTTTGATTGCTACATGTCCTTTGTTGTCCTTGCTAGGTCTGATAATTTCTTGCTAATTTACAGTTTTATAAAAACACCCAATGAAATAAAATTCAGTTAAATCAATTCAAAATTTTTTTAGTTGATCGACCCATAAATTTTCTTTTGAGCGTATAAAGTCAAATTACTTACGTGGAGACATTCGAGTTGGTAATTTTTGTAGTTAAATTGCAATTGATTTTGATAAAAGAGCTTGGCATCAAAACTGAACCTTTTAGAGATTTTTCTAAACATTGTTAGTTCGTCTTTGTTGTTTCATATTGCTTCGAACAAAATAGAAAATTTGATTGAATTATCTCAGTTGGTTACCGGTATTTTTTGCTTAGACAAAAGATTTTTTCCTTGCGCTGTTTTTGATTAGAAGCAAATTTTTGTTTTCAGTTGTTGTCGGCGTACAGTCCGTATTTGATCATGCGCAACATGTAGACGAACCATCCTTTGAACTCGTCAAAAGTCATGTCCAATTGGCCGTCAGTCTCCGCGTAGCTTTGAAACGAAACTTCAAACTTCTTGTTGTCCTCCTCGGCAAAACGGAACTCAAACAGATTGGATTCAAAGTAACTTTTGATCAAATTTTTAGCCTCATGCAAATTTTCGATGTTGCCTTCGACCGATTTTCCCGCCTTGCCAAACAAAACTTGCACTTCGTTCTCAAGTAGCGCCTCGTCGTCCAATAGTGCAGAGGCTCGCTCTTGCAGTCGTTCTTTTGAATGATTTCCTAACTCGGGTCGCTCAATCGGCGTGTTTGATTCGTCCGCTTCGTAATCTTCGTCTTCTCGTTGCTCGTCACGATCGCCATTCGTAGCTTCGTTGAACTCGTTTTGCTCGTCTCCGTCATTTGAAGTGGGAAAGTCTCGATTATGACCCAAGTTACCCTCGAATGCGGCCGGCGCTGTGTAAGGCTTACCATATATGGTATTCGTTCCCCCGTAAGCTGACTCTGGTGAAAGATCATTTTCACGAATACCCTCTCGTAACGCACTTTCTCGTCTCTCGTACGACCTCAATTCGGTTTCGGTCATCCCTTCGCGAATGGAAACTTGTCGACCACTTTGGTTCTTCCCGCCCGATACTTTGTACCGCAGGACATTGCTCACCACGTTCGTTCCGCCCAGACTATTTCGCTTAGTAAAATCCCGACCTGGGCCCGAACTCAGTTCACGGCTGGCTACATAGTCGGGCGGTAGTCCCAGGTATTCTTTGACGATCGATGTCAGAGATTGGAGGGCTTCTTCAATGTCATCAGCGTCAATAACTTGGTCGAAAAAGCCAGGGTTCTCCTGGTTGACTTTCATGTACACATCGCGGCGCAACAAGGCGCTTCTCACCTCTTCGTCGCTCATTTGGTAGTACGTTTTGAGTCTTTCTTCGTGCACCTCCTCAGTCTTGGGGATCAGCAAGAGATACCTTGGTTCGAAAAATGACTTTTTGAACGATAGAATTCCTTCGTATTCCATGTGCGTCACACAGGCTAGTCCTTCACTTGCAATACTGTCGATCGCGTCATACATGATACCCAGTGTTCGGAACCCGTCGCTGTAAGTTGACACGAAGCGACCTTCTTGAATCATGTTTACGAATTCATCGGCCGAGATACCCGGGTGGCTATTCTGTTGCAGCTCTTGGCCATATACTGAATTATCGTTGGTCATGCTCAGCACTTGATTAGGAAGGTATCCAAAAAAATCTGGAAACTCCTGAGCTAGACGAGCTGCCAGTTCAATTTTGCCGCATCCTTGAGGACCACTAAGCACTAAAATAGGGTAAGGCGTTTCCAAACTCGGAAGCGTGCATTCTCGAAGCTTAGCCGGTTGCAGGTATTTGTAGACCACGTGATTGATATGGTCACGTGCTGCTACTACTTCGGGTGGCGGGTTGAACAAATTCATAGCAGACACTTTTTCCTCGGGTTGTACCTTGTGCTTATCGAGAGAGGTCAGCTCCGAACACCGATACAAAATAGCGAACCGGTAGTCATCTTTGTCTTGAATTGGGTTGTTGCGCAAATTAAGTTCTCGTAGCAAACGATTCCCTATGAACACTGGTTCTAAATCATCGTAATCGACTATGTTGTTATTCTGGGCGTCAATTTTCATTAAATATCGTCTGTTTTCAAGTCCCTTCAAATTAGCTAGAGCATTGTATGAAATGTCCAACGCCTGCAACGACTCCAAATTTTGAATCGATTCTAGAGAAGCGATCTTGTTGGCGGAAAGATACAATTCCAAAATTCCAGTTTTACAAATTTCCAGTGAAGTCAGCTGGTTTGCACTTAAATCTAGAACCTTTAGGCGAGTGTTGTGTTCTAAGCCCTCAATTCGGGCTATTTGATTGTTGTTCAAGTTAAGGTTCTCCAGCGCCGGAAAGCGACTCATGTCACCAATACATGCCAATACATTGTTCGATGCGTCCAGATTTCGTAGGTTCTTTAGCCCTGCCAGACTGTCTAGAGACTGTATGACGTTGTTTGATACGTTTAAACTCAGCAGATAAGACAATGAGTTCAAGGGTGAAAGATCCGATACTTTGTTGTGCATCAGGTTAACGTTTTGTAGGTTAGTCATCACCTGCAGTGTTTCGATGTTCTTGATCTCCATCGCTGGCAGGTACAAGTCTAGGAAAACAAAATTGTACCCGTCGGCCATTTTGCCAATATTACACAATCCATGTTGCATAAGTTTGTCGTCCAGAAATCCATTTTTGGCGACAATGTGTTCGTTTTTCTCTGCAACAGTAGCAGCAGCGACTTCGTTTCGGTTTCCAGCTACTAGAATGGAGTCTTTCAGGTTGCTGAAATTATCAACTGGCGGGGGACTGTTGTAGGGCGACCTCTCTTGATCCAAGTTTAACACATTGGTATCGCTCTTTATGGAATGTACTGATGAACTGATGTCGTGATTTTGATCTACTATAGGAGACATATTTTAAAAACTAAAACGCCAATAAAAAAATTGAGCAGCTAACAAATTAAATGCAAATCAAGCTTCATGTAAAACGTAACGTGCGCACAAATCATGATTAAAAACGCACGTGCTTTTTGTTAGACAAAAACCTTTAGTAGTTTTTTAACATAGGTCTTTTACTTTCTAAGCCAAGCTATGCAAAGGTATTCAATAGCTGGACAGGTGGTGGAAAATCTTCCCCAACACATGACGGTAACTAATTTCCAAAATTTTCACTGTACATTTTCTATTACCACTTTTCAAAATTTTTTAGTTTAAACTGAATGCCCCGATGCCATGAAAATGGATGAGAACGTTTACAGTTTTTGTATTTCTTGCTGTTTATAATCATCCAATCTTAAGTATCAACAGGGGCGCAATTAGGGAGGGGGCGGGGGGGGGGGGGGGTCGGACGCCCTTCCCCTCAGGGATTCGACCCCCTGTCGACCCAAAGGGTCCCCCCTTTGATACTTTTTCAGAAGTTCATTTTTGGCCGACCGACCCTAAAATTTTTCTAAAGGCGCCTGAGCTTGAGGGGAGCGCGCGCCAACAAAAAACGCAATTTTTTTGTCAAAATTTTTCAAAAAGTGCCCAAAAACGGCTTTTTTGACTGTTTTTTCAAAAATTTGCCTGCGGCGCAGAAAATTTAGCCATAATAGGGGCAAAACAGTGCTTTGGGAGAGCTCGAACAAAGAACAATCAATTTGGTCGACCTAAAAAAAGGTCGTCAAAATTTTCGAATTTTTTTTGAAAATCCGCCCAACCCCCCCCCCCCCCCCTCGAGAAAATCCTAGATCCGCCCCTGAGTATCAAGAAAGTTACTCAATTTTTTTAAAAAACGAACAATTTTTTTTTTTAAATCAGCTTAAAAACCAAAAAAATTCAACCACCTAAATAAAACCGAAAAAGCTACCGTAAATTTTGATAAAACCGAAAACGTATATTGGTTGCACATATTCAGTTGAACTTTTGTACATAGAGGCGCGCTGTGCTCCGCAAAACACCAGCGAGAACACGACAAAAAGCAGATCTATAAAGTGCAAAACGCAAAACACACTAACCACTCAGACACGGACGCTTAACTAATGACAAGCAATAGCCGCAAATAAAGCAGCGAACAGATGTTATGAAATTTCCAATGCTATAAATTTTAAAATGAACGCTTTTATTGAACACTTTTATTTGCTAGTTAGATTAGAAAAAAAAGAAGCTTCGCTCTAATGCACTGCGCTTAAAATCTATAAGTGTAATAAGGAATCAGTGATTGTATAAGTTATCCAGATTGCACAAAGACCAAACGTGGAACTTAAAAAGCGTTTTTTCTCAATTTGGAGCAAGCTTTAAGAAAAAGTTACAGAAGTTTTTTTGAAGGGGAGCCAAAATTTGGTTAAAACTAATGATTTAAAAGAAATTTAAAAAATTCAGATTTCGTTTTTATTCGCTTTCGAGCACTGCATTCTCCGGTTTTTTGATTTTCGAGAAATTTTTGCTTTTAAAGTTTAACAATATTTTGAATTTTGCTTTAATTTTTCATAAGTTGCATAATGATTGACAATGGTAGGTGAGTCTCATTAACTAAACTCCTGAAAGTTGAATCATTAGAGTAGCATGTATTACAAATAAATTTTTATATGACTGGTACATAAACTTACTCTTTTGTAATACAATTTACACATTTTACATTTGTATTTCAGACTCATAAGTTAAGAAAAAATATGGCGCTGAAAACAACTATAACTATTTTTTTTATTGAAATTAACTTTTCACTGCTTAAATTGAGCATTAATAAGCTTTTCTTTTTATTATACGCCTGATGCTTGCATGCTTCATTCAGTCGAATTTAGACTAAATGTCAAAAATTTTGATTCATTTAATTTTGACACTGGGTAAGTTTTTTAAAACTTATTATAGTCGTTGGAATCACGTATGAAATAGGTACAATCTGATATCCCAATGATTATTTGTAGTATTTGATTTTGCATGGGAAACAAAAGAAAAGAAAAACATAAGCACACCCGATTACAAAGCTCGTCATTTTCAATAGTCGCAACAAAGTTTTAACAAAAACTAAAAACGCCTGAATCTAGTGAAAAAAAATCAAACAATGATAATTTTCTAGAAACTATGGCGACATAAGTCTTAATAAAAGTTAGCTGGACAGTTGAAAGATTAATAATTCTTTCAAGGAAGCAAAACAAATGTTGGCTTTTTCTCTATTTTTCCAATTTTTAATAACAACCACATCTCTTCAAAATTTTTTGAATTGCGCCGAAAACTGGAAGCTGAACAATGAATTAGCTTCCAGTTTTCGGCCCAATTTCGCCACTAGTCAAAAGAAGCTCGTAGGGGTTGAAGTGGATTATCCTATTTAAATCCTGTTGCTCGAGAACTGAATTCAAAAAAATCCTTTGTTTTGCAAAGTTTTTCAGATTAGTTTTTGATAGTGGAAAATTGAAACTGAGCTTCAAAGCTAGCTTTTTGAGGATTTCTTCAGGATTTTACTTAGTATTAACTTATTTTTATAGCTCATTGTCCAATTCAGTCCCCTCCTTGTAACTACAAAATAGAGAGTAAATGAACGCAATTATACAGAAACAATAGACTCGTTATTTGAAAAAATCTTATTTTTCGAATTTTCGATGAAAAAAAAAATGTCATTCTCACTCTTTGAACTTCTAGATTAACTTATGATTGACACTTTTTTGCAGAAAAATGGATCAACAAGTAAAATTTTTTGTTTCGCTGGGAAATCCGATATTTAAATTCCAGTTTTGAAATTAGATGACAATCATGTTTTTTGCTTAATGACTTTTAAACTTCCGCTGTTCGATAGTGGAGTTTGTCTTTCATTTAACAAAGAAACTGAAATGAACTTGCTAAGAATTTAAAAAAAAACCTCGATAAAGTAAATTTGGGCCGGAAAAAATTTAAGACTTTTACTGAAATAAATCATCGCGGCTTACTAAAGAAGCTGAGCTACGTGTATCGACTAACCACTTTCGAAGCTTTAAAAAATTTCTGTTTCAACTCAACTTAGCATTGTTTAACAAAGAACGTAATTGCCTCTTTTCTTCAACAGGAAGTCGAATATCATATGGGTCAGACCTTGCAAAAAAACTTGTGCTTCAAAGAACAAATACATCACTTTACACAGAGGCAGAGCTGTGCTTCGCAAACACTAGCATGAACACGGAAAAAAGCAATTTCGTGAAGTCAACTTAAAAAGTGGAAACAAGCCTCGAATGAGTTAAGCTTTGCTACCAAACGGACTATAATCTGTGACTTCGAGATTTAGATTTTCACGTCCTGCCCTCTCAGCCACGGACGCTGAACTATCGGGAAAAAACTAGTCACACACTAAGCAGCTAAATATGCTACGAAATTTCCAATCCGACTTGGAATATTACAAACTGAAGGCCTCCACACTAACTTTGCATGCAATAAGCTGGAAATCACAAAGCCAAAATATTTATAAATAGTTCATTTTAAACAAATTTCGAGTTATATTGAGTGACAAAACTTATGAATTCAAGTTTCTACGCTGAGTCGAAGCTGCGCTTCGCAGACACTTGAGAAAACACGACCAAAAAGCAGCTCTATTAATTGAAATAAGAGAAAGCGGAAAACAGCCTCGAATTAGCCAAAATTCGGCTACATATCGCATTCGAATCTGCGACCAGCAAATTCGAGTCTCACGCACTAACCGCTCAGCCACGGATGCTTAAAATCTCCAAAAACGCAGCTACATATGCTAATAGATTGTCAGTTCGAGTCAGCACCAAATACAAATAGACTCAATTTTGCAATTAATAATTTGGAATGTAACAAACTGAAGGCATCCACACTAACTTAGCATGTAACAAATCACAAAGCCAAAATATTTATAAATAGTTCATTTTAAACAAATGTCGAGTTATATTGAGTTGCAAAACTTAGGAATTCAAGTTTCTACGCTGAGTCGAAGCTGCGCTTCGCAGACACTTGAGAAAACACGACCAAAAAGCAGCTCTATTAATTGAAATAAGAGAAAGCGGAAAACAGCCTCGAATTAGCCAAAATTCGGCTACATATCGCATTCGAATCTGCGACCAGCAAATTCGAGTCTCACGCACTAACCGCTCAGCCACGGATGCTTAAAATCTCCAAAAACGCAGCTACATATGCTAATAGATTGTCAGTTCGAGTCAGCACCAAATACAAATAGACTCAATTTTGCAATTAATAATTTGGAATGTAACAAACTGAAGGCATCCACACTAACTTAGCATGTAACAAATTGCAAAGCATAAAACCACATTCTGTATAAAGAATGAATTATAAAAAGCTATTTGTTTCAAACATCATCGCAATAAAAAAAATCGATTTCAGAAACTCAATATAGTTTCTGAAATCGATTTTTTTTATTGTGATGATGTTTGAAACAAATAGCTTTGTTCATTTGATGAATTAAAAATGCATCAAGCGTGATATTTTATTACTCTTCGAATGTCAAAGCACATGCTATCAAAAGGCTGTAAAGGTTCCCCACAATTATTGGGGTGCCGCACCATAAGCTACTAAGATTGGAAAAAAGAAGGTTCGTTCTAATACACTAGCTATAAATAGACTGAACATTTATTGAGCCTTTCACCCAAGGCCATTTCTCAAGCTTAGCTCAAATTAAGCTTTTACCCAAGGCCATTTTTTAAGCTGAGCTCTAATTAAAAATGAAACAGCCTAAAAAAGGCATAAGTGAGTGCAAATTCATAACCTGTTTCAAAAATAACATATTTACACAGAGGCGAAGCTGCGCTTTGCAAACAATTGCGAGAACACGGCCAAAAATCAGCTCTATCAATTGAAGTAAGAAAATTTAGAAATAAGCCTCGAATTAGCAAAAACTGGATTACGCGTAGGATTCGATTCTGCGACGTTGCAACTTTGAGTCTCACGCACTAACAAATCAGCCACGGATGTTTAAGCAAAACCAGTTATAGAGAGAGATTTGAAAATCCTATTTTTTTAATGTAATCTATGATACCAGATTTGGCATGCTTATTAATGAGAAAGGTCTAGAAACGTTCAAGAAATCAAAACTTGACATTTCCGAGAATCATAACTTAATGTAAAAAATATGTCTTAGCTGTTTTTGCAGAAACGATTCACTCAATCTGTAATTTCGATTGAACCTAAAATCCCAGACTTGGGAGGTTAATTCTCGAGAGAAGCCAAAAACTTAAAAGATCAAAAAATCAAGTTTTTGACTTTTTCGAGGACCATAAATTTGGTGTCAGAAAAGTTTCGGAGAAGTCGCAAAAGCAAATGCACTTCTCAGAACTCGTTCCCTGAATCGAACTCAAAATCTCAGATATGGCAGGGTAGTTTTCGAGAATATTCAAAAAATTTAAAAAATGGTCAAAAAATTAAATTTGACTTTTCCGAGGCCGATAACTTAGGTAATAAGATTTTTGAGTCGACGCTTATGCAGGGGAGCTTCCCACTACCTGTTATTTCCATTGAACCCACAGTATCAATATTGAGCGGCTAGTTTTGAGCAAAGCCAAAAGGTTCAAAAAGCGGTAAAAAAAAACAACAGTTTGACTAATACGAGGGCCATAATTACTGGTGTTAAAAGTAGAGAAAAAAATCAATATATCACAAGTTTTTTTTTGAAGGCTGCAGACAGAAAGTTCAGGTAAATAGAGACTCTAGGGGAGAATAAAATCACACAGGGTAGTTGGCGGTGTTTTACTTGATACCCCTTTTTGAAAATCAGTTCTGAGAAACAGTAAAACTTTTCCAATAAATTTGGACTTGGTTGGTCCATAATGAAAAAAAAATCAACGAACTGATTGGAAACTATACGACCAACTTGAAAAGGGCCGAGGAAAGTGGTTAAATTTTTTTCCCATAAACCACCCAAAATTAAGTCCTTAAGCCGATTAAAAACAGGCCAAAATTATTTGTGCCGAGGAATGTTTTTTTTAGCAAAGAATTTAAGAACGAAAAAGGAAGTCAACGTCAGCAAAATTAAACTAATTGTAGGAGTAAAATAAACAATAAAAAGAAACATTTAAGGAAAAACCGCGCAGCAAAAAAAAAAGATTCCAAGATGTGACAACTAAGCCGACAACAGACAAATAATTTCATTTGAAACGGAATACTTCCCATTTGAAAAAAAAACTGGTCCTGGTCAGATTCAAAACCAGGACCTTTGCTGTCCCAGGCATATTCGTTACCTCCAGATTAAGTTGGCCGAGAAAGCATAAAAATTTGAATTCATTATGAGCCAAGATCCAAACGATTCAATTCATTCTGTTAAACAAGTTGTTAACCCCAAAAAGTCTGTATTCCAGTTTGATAACGCTTGCTAATCGCAAGTGTAACCATCCACTTTCAAAACTAAAACAAAATTTACACATGCGAAGCTGCACTTCGCATACACAAGCAAAAATATGACCAATAACGCTACTCCAAAAAACTGAATGAATAAAACTTCGAGTCTACGAAACTTCTTAAGTGACGCACGCCATTTATGAGTCTACATAATTGCTAAGTGACGCATGCCAATTATATGTCGCATTAGCAGTACAAGTCAATTTAAAAAAAGAAATTTATCAACTAACATGCCTCAATTTATTGAGCGGACGTATTTCAACTAGTATACGAAAAAGTCTACATAATTGCTAAGTGACGCATGTCAATTATGACGCATTAGCAGAGCCAGTTAATTAAGTTCATTTAAAATATCCTACCTTTCCCAGGTTCCAACACTTATTTTGTTGCGGTTCTCCTTGCCTACTTCTACGCTAGAGATCCATGATACCTTGAAGCTAAAGTGCTATTTGTAAAATAATAGTCTGAGTTAATATCCTTAGCATTGGCTGTACTTAATAGCTGGTTATTGATCAAAATGAACACTTTAAAAATGAACACATTGCGTCGCAACAATATTTGCTTGGCAACAATATTTGCGTCGCAACAACAGTATTTGCGACTTAGGTTGGAAAAAATATATAGTTCATACTATAACACAAGCTTTGCTTGTAACCAAACTAATCTGAATTCATTCAATCGAGATAAAATCAAACAGCAAATGTAATTTGAGCGTGAAAAACTTGGACTTTTCCCTTTAAAAAAAACTGATAAAAGCAAAAAAGCCAAATAAGTAACTTCAGTAGGACTTAAAAACCACTCAAGCTTAAGGAGTTGGAGCTCACTTCTTTATAAATACTTCAAAAATCTTATGTATATATGTCCATTTGAAGCTAGACATAACTTTGATCAAACAGATGTTTCTGTAAAGTTTATAACGGGACGGACAGTTCTGTCAAAATTAAAAATACCTAAACTGCCTTCAGAACATTGTAAATAATCTTTTTGAAATAACTTTTAAGCTGAATATTCGCAAAATAAAGTTAATTCATAATTTGATACGAAACAGAATACAAATTTGACAACTAATTTCCCATAGATCAGTTTAATTTGGGCAGGGGACTTGGATTTACTTTCGTGGTTTCTTCGTGTTCCCCGCCACAGAACTCTCTAATTTTAGAGTCCGTTTCTTCGATTATCGTCTCTGACCTGCCCCCTGCTACGATACCCACTTGTGAGTGGGGGAACATGGGCGGCGTCTTCACTCCCTCTCTATTTTCAGTCACGTGGTCAAGAAACCTCTCTAGCTGACCAACGTTGAGATTATTGTGTAGAACTTCCACGGGGCAGAAGTCTTTGAGTAGCTTGGAAGTTATTATTGCTGAAACAGGCGTTCAATAAAAAATGGCTAAATACATTTACTTAGACTAATTCGCTTAAACAATCGACAGATGAGCGAACTTTGAAACACTCGTAAACCTATACTTCAATCGAATTAACCTCTTTTTGCTGAAACTCATGTCTCTGAGAGTTTTCACGTAGAGTTGCAGACAATATTAATTTTAAAAATCATCTATTTGAGCCAATTTTGCAGGCAAAAGCTGCTTTTTTCAGAAGAAAAGTGTCTCAAGGTCAACTAAAATTAAATTTGCATGCAAAAATTGTTCAGAATTGGCGATTTCTCTTTCCAATTTCTCCAATTTCTTTCCAACCTACTTTCCAACTTTTTAACCAAATCTTTTCCCTTTTCATTCTGTCAATTTTTCAATGAGAAACTCGGAAACTATATATACAGAGCTACAACAACTCGGACAGACAAAATTAATTAACAAAAGCAAATAGTTTATTTCAAAAAAAAAATTGCATTAAAAAGCTAATTTTTCAGGCAGATTTTATCTCGGGCAGTAAACAACTGGCAGATTGCTCTTTTGAATTAGTTCGGTTAATATGAAATGTTAAATGTTTGCATGTTTTTTTTTTACATCAAACCACGTCTTTTCCATAGTTTGTGTTGTGCATGTATGGTTTAATCCTTACCCGTGGGCAGCATGTTCTCTCTCCTCATTTTCTCTTGGTATATTGAGCTCAGATTGGGAGCACTGCCCGAATTCACGTTTCCAGACAAAAAGGCTGAAACACACGCCACTTTTTTCACACCACAATCAGTTATGAGCTACTACATCAACCATCTACTGAACACTTAACCCCAAGTTGGTTCGCAGAACTATGTTAGTCCCTATCGATTTCACCAGAAACTCTATGATAAATGAAAAAGAGTATTATTTAACAACCTTTTCGTAGCCTTCATAAATCAACAACAAGGAACGAAAAAATGGGTTAAATGAACAGAAACGAAAAAAAAAAATCATTTTTCAGACGCCGCCCAATGGAATACTAGCGCAAACCATTCATTTTTTTATCTGGAGACAAAATATCGAATACTTTTCTCATACAACTCAGACAAGTTTACCGTTACATGATTTACATGCTTTAAAATAATTTTCAAGCAAGAAACAATCAATTTTTGTAAAAACAGTTGCTCGAGAAAGGACGGGAACTTTTGTGCAGATGAACAAAACAAAAATTAAAAATATCTCCACCAGACAGCTAAAAAGCGATAATGGGCTTCCAGAATTCAAAGCAAATGAATTAGTTGATTTTTTTCAAATATTATCATGAAATTAGTTATATTACCGCAAAACTTTCATTGACAAGAAACTTGTAGAATTGCCATAGATAAAAATAACCGCCAATTCATTATTTCATTGGGAGCCTCAGAAACCACTTCCGATGTTGGGAAGCAGAATTTAAAACTTACTGAAGAATGAAATTGCTAAGCAAGCTGCAATAGAAACCGGAAGTCAAACAGTCAAGCAGCAAAATCAGCTTGAAGGAAAAAATGTCATAGTGAAACGCAAAAACAAAAAATAATATACAAAACAAACGCACAACCAAAAACTTTGTGCAAATTAACACCAAAACTATCTTTTCAACTTGCCCCAAAAGCGTTTTCATGCCAATTTCAAATATATATATTAAAAGAAGCAGGCATTTGAGAAGCAGGCATTTGCCAAAACTCTGCGAAAATTAAAAAAAACCTAAATCAGTTTTAATTTAAAAAAGTTTTTTTTATAGCATAAAATAGCTATATTTATAACATAGAGACAAAGCCGCACTTCGCAAAAACAAACGAAAAAACGCCAAAAATTGGTTCTAACAAGTGAAAGTACTGACTCGCATTAAAAGTGAAGCTCGCTTGTGCAAACAATGTATTATACGAAGCACTTAGAAAAACATGCTGCGCGTATGAGACTCATATGCGTATGATTTGTTTGCGCATAAATATCCATTTTTTATTGTATATCTTGCATCTGCAAGTACCAATTTGCAACCATTGCTTTATATCAAAACTTCAAATGCAATAAAGTTTTCAGCACTACATCAATAGCTGAAATTATCGCCGACAGACAGAAGGAATTGTGTCAATTAAAAGTGCTAACGAAGGTAACGAAAGATTTTTCTGAACATTTTTCAACGTCAACTTCAAATAATTCTTATATCACTGAAAACTCGTTCAATTTCAAAGATCTTTTCTATTAGATACATTGGCGGAGATACTATATATGCCGGAGACGCTTAAAAATTTGAATTCATTATGAAACGAGACCAAGTGACTCTGTGAAACAAGTTGTTAAACCGAAAAAAAAGAAGTTTATATTCCGATTTGATAACGCTTGCTAATCGCAAGCGTAAAAATGTACTTCCGAGTAAAAAACATTATGATTTTTCGCGCGCCATTTGCAGTTCGAATATGGGCGAGCGTAATTTTCCTTCTTTTCATCAAATTACTTATTTTGAATTACACTCAGAAATAAAGTTGAATGCCAAATCAAAAGTCAAACGGCAAAATATGAAAGTCATATCGCCAAAAATCAAACCGCGAATTCACTTATTGTTCCGACTTTCGAAGAAAACGACGGAATATTTTTGCTCGATATGTATTTTCTCCAGACAAATTTCGACTTTTTTTATAAGCAATGGTTGATATATTTGTTTTATATCAGCCGAAATTGTGGTTATCCTTGCCTCAAATTTAATAAGATGTTTCATTTGTGATCATTTTTCGTAAAATTCGTAAATTTGTTTAAACGAACACTACTCCATTGAATTTAAAAGGCAGTCGGGGTATTCAGGGCTTCGCCCTGACACGAACAGTTTGATATCATTTTCTTTCGAGCGGGCTTGGAAATCAAATACCAATTACTTTTTATGAATGAATTGTTTATGTAATTATATAAATGTTTTAAAATCAGTTGGGGTTGCAGTTGAGTCCATTTTCATATGGAGCCAAACTAAAGTAAACTAAAGATACATTAAAACTTTTAAATCTCAGCTCGTAATATGTGACTCTGAATAGCCAAAACGCAAAAATGGTGATACTGAAACGTATAAGCATTACAAATGCAGCACCTTTTCCAATGACTCACTAACTTACCGATTTTGAAACAAACCATTGTAGGGGCTATAAAAAAGCACAACGTTGAATGCATATAAAACGTCCTACAATTTCTATTATTAATCTTTAAATCATATGCAGAAATTTTTTCATAAAAACAGAAGCGAAGCGGAGCTTCCGGCCGCCCCTTGCGATACAACACAAACTGAGCATTCTATGCTTTCGAACAGAAAATGAGATGAAAACCACTAATTCGAAAAAAAATTGTAATTGCAAAAAATTAAACCTTAAAACATTATCTCGAATAATGTCGACTTTGAGGAAATCATGTCAATAAACATAATTGCCAGCATTAAATAACTATAGCATTCAGAAAGTTTTACCGAGCCATAAACAAAACTGTTTCTTAAAAAACTGTAAACTTGTAGAGCCGAGAATAAAATTGTCCCATAAAAATTTTAAGCTATAAAAGTTGGAGGTTTTTATCCAGAGATTTTGTATGTTTCCCTCCTAAAAAAAACCATAACATGAAAATATCTTTTCATTCAAACGATGTATTATAAGGTCACTAGCCGATATATTTTAAGCCAAAACCATTTAAGTCAAACTAGCGTGTACCGCACCTCCGGTGCTTCGAATTTTCAACAACTCAAAAAAAACTTATTTGAGTGTACTCTGACAGCACCCAATTACAGGGTTCGTAATTGCAAAGTTTTTTATTCAAGTTTTTTATACAAATTTTGAAGAACCAAAAAAATTTTTTTTAAGTTTTATGCAAGTTCTTCAAAAAATTTAAAATGAACTAAAAAACGTCACATCTGGGCAACTGAAAGAAATTGAGCAGTCGCATTTGAAAGCAAGATTTGCAACTCCTGAGAGTAACTTCAAATTTTAAAAAATTTTCATTCGATTTTTTAATTCAAATTTTGAAACCATAAAAAATTGTGGCATTTTTATATCTAAGTATAAAAAGTATTAAGAAACAGCACATCTGGGAAACTGAAAGCAATTGAGCAGTCGCGTTTGGACGCAAGATTTACAACTCCTGAGAGTACTCTTACAGTACCCAACTACAATGTTGGGAAATTAAAATTTTGAGAAACTTCACCTTAAGTTTTGTAAAAGGGGTACCTCGAAAACTACCAAAATTTAAGCCATCTTCTTTGATGGCAATATTTGCAATCTTTGAAAGTACACAACTACAAGGTTGGGAATTTCACTTTAGTAAAATATTTTGTAATTTGAGTTTTCCGAAAATTTCATAAAATCACAAAATTCGTCGTATCTCTTATACAAAAATGATTTGGGCATTTTTAATTGGAGGTCAAATTTGCGACCCCTGAGATTACTCTGACAACCCCCCCCCCCAACTACGGGTTAAGAATTTCGAACTTTCAAAAAAAATTAAATTAAATTTCATGAAAATTTTTTTGAAAAAATCACAAAAAGGTCATATCTGGAAAACTGCAAGATTTTGAGCAGTCCTATTTGGAGGCAAAATTCGCAGTTCTATTGGGAGATAAAATTCTTAACTCCTGAGAGTAACCTGACAGAGCATCACCACAGAGATGGTAATTTCAAGTTTTGTGAAATTTTTTATATGTAATTTTTCTGAAAAATTTTGAAAAAATCCAAAAAAAACCATATCTCGAAAACCACAACGATTTGCGCAGCCATAATCAAAGGCAAGATTCGCAACCCCAGAGAGTACCCTCACAATATCCAACAACAGGATTGAGATCTTCATTTTTTTGGATTTTTCTAAAATCTAAGTTTTGAAAAAATCATAAAAAACGGCATATCTCGAAAACTACAAGGATTTGAGAAGTGAGAAGTTGAGGCAAGATTAACAATCCCTCGAGTACCCTGGGGGTTGCAACACATGCAAAAATAATACGTTGAAAAAGCTTAAACATGGCTAGATAGTGAAGCCCGCATTTAAATATATAATAGATAGATAGATAATAGATGAAAATTAAAAAATTAGGCGACGGGTAGACAGACATAATCAAATTAATTTAAAAAGCAGGTATACAAACAGACAGACTTAATTTGGCCTCGGAAAAAATACTGACAAATAAATGACCTTGCTAAAAACTAAAAGAAAAATTTTCTTAAGCATTGCAATATATGCTATAGCTTAAACATGAAAAAATTCTTTCGGTAAACATGCAAAATTATTATGCTTAAACATGAGAGATAGCTGTCACTCGCATTTAAATATAGTATAGATAGATAGATAGATAGATAGATTAACTTTTGAAATATATCCAAAATCAGAGATGGTAAATTTAAAAATTACAAGAACAACCAATATGACTTGCAACACAGAGTTAAGCGGAGCTTTGCATCAATTGTGATACACAGCGTAAAGAACAACAGCGTAAACATTTACAAAAAAACAGCGCCATATTTCATATTTTAAAAGCCAAAATATAACAAAAATAGGTACAATCGAGCCATTTTCTAGCCCTTTGATTCTATAAAACTCACTTGAAAACTCGAACTAGGCAAATGAAACCTTCAAACAGACGGAGAAATATCTGTACATTTTTCTAAATTTTGCAATCAGACAGAACTAAGTTTCAAAACCGACATCTTTCTTTGCTCGAGTTTTGACTGGCGAGATTTCTATTTTTTATATAATAGTTTATACCCATTAAAAATATTTATTCAGGAGGGACAAAGTCAACAAACGAGCTGGTCGGTTCTTGTCGGGTATAGCTTCCGTGCCCTTGGTCAACTTCAGGAACCACAAAAGAGAATTTCATATTTCTCTGTGATGAAATTTCTGAGGGTCAAAAGCCTGTGATTATAGCAAAAGCGAGGCTTCTGTCAAGCAGCATGCAACTCTTCGCTTTTACATAACCGATGTTTATTTCCGTTGCCATTGAATTTCAGTTGTACATAAGTTTCATCCGAGTTGCCTTCATCAAATTTCTATATCAATCATGTTAGATCAGGTATTCAAAGAGTTACAGATAATTATTGCTGATCGACTTCTACTCCACGAGACTTCAGCATGCTAAATCTAATTTTCTATCAGCAAGCAAACGCAACTACAAAAGAGACTAACGTGTCACGCACCTCGGTGCCTCAAATTTTTGAAAAATCATAAAAAACGGCATACCCCTTAAACTAAGATAATTTGAGAATTCAAACTTGGAAGCAAGATCTGCAACTTCTGAGAGTACCCTGACAGCCCTCAATTACAGGATTGGTAATTCCAAATTTGGAAATTTTTAATTCAAAATTTGAAAAACCATAAAACATCAGATCTCGGAAACAAAAAGGGCCCGAGCAGTCAAATTTGGAGCAAGATTTGCAACCACTGATAGTAACCTCAAATCAACCCACTATAGAATTCAAAATTTCAAACAGAATTTTGAAAACTTTGCACCACTTGCGATACAACATAAATATAGCAGTGCAAGCTAGCAGACAGGAAAAGAAAGACAAGTCCAAAAAAAAGTAGAAAAAAAATTCAAAAAACAACAACTTGAAAATTCAAAATGTTAACTGGAATCATATTTTCTTTGCGGAAACACGCTCAGAAACACAATCGAAGGCAATTGATAAAAATTCAAAAAAAAACAAACCGACCAATCTAAAATTATTTCCCGTAGAACCAAAAATATAATTGTTGTCATGAAAAACTTTGAGCTATAATTTCTATTCTAAGAATTTCAGCCTTTTGTGCGATCCGGAAAAAAGCATAAAACTTATGCTTACCTTGAAAGGACCCCAAACTAGGTCACTAAGCCAACAAATTGTACGCCGAAATCAACTAAACCGAATAAAGTTTTTAGCAAGGCTAGTTGAATTAAAAATTGCAGTAGTAATTCAGAACACTAAAATCATTTAAATCAAAAATTGCGTACAAAAAACTGATTCTACGAGGTGGCAACTCAGCCATAAACATACGCAGACAAACTACATGCCGACATTTATTTGGAAAGGAATATTTCCAGTTTGAAAAAGCTCCTGGTCAGATTCGAGCCCACGACCTTTGCCGTCCCAGGCGTATTCTTCATTCTCAGGTTAAGTGCCGGACACGCATAACAGATTGAATTCGACTTGATCAAGATACAAGTGATTATGTTAAACAAGTTGTTAATCCGAAAAAAATTATATTCCGGTTTGATAACGCTTGCTAAAAGCAAGCATAATCAAAGTTCTTTAAACTTAAAAAATTCGCAAAAAAACATAACAACTTAGAACCAATAAGCCTGTGGGCAACCACATTTGGTGACGAGATTTGGTAAAACTGAGAAACACTGACAGCACCCAACTACAAGGTTGTCAACTTCTAAGTTAGTGAAGTTTTAAAAATCAAATTTTTCTGAAACTTTTTGAAACCATCACAAAAATCGTCGTACCTCGTAAAGTAAAAAGATTTGTATATTCATATTTCGAGTAAATACTTGCAACCCCAGGAAAACTCTGATACCATCCCTCCATCGGGTTACAAATTTCGAAATTGGTGAAAAAATTGCAGAATTCAAATTTAAAAAAGAAAAATTATTAAGCACTACTATATGCGATATAGCTTTAACGTCAAATTCTTCTCAAAATTAATTAAAACGTTGAAGAAGCTCAACAATGCGGAGACAGTGAAGCCCGCATTTAAATATACATAGAATATATAGAAAGAGAAAACTGAAAGCTAATTCACAGAAAAACTATTTGATGCTAAGGATCCATGCATTTCTAGAATTTTTTTGTAATTAAATTGCGCTGGGTAATAACACATGACAATTAAACTGATTGAGGTTTTTCGCTATATTTTTACTAGTTTTTGGAGAGCGTAATTTCTTTTAAAAGAAATCAAACCGCCATAATTTAATCTTAAGCGTATGGATTTTCATGACAACACGCCCAGAATAATTGAAAACTCACTTCGTTCTAATACTTAATACGTATTAAGTTCTATAAATTTGACAGAAATCGGTGAGGCATGATTCTATGACTTTTTAAAGCAAAACAATATAAAAACAAAAAGCAGACAGTTAGAAAACGAAAACAAGTTCACATTGACTACAAACAACCACTTTTTTGAGCGTCATAGAAAAAATTACACCATAGTCTCGCAGACAACAAAATAAACTCAAAAATAACTCTAAAAATTATAAAAAATGTTTATCATATATTTTTTTCGGCTCAACCGGTGCCTGCACAAAGACTCGGCTTTTTTTCGCTTCGTAAGATTTGCTCAATTGCTAATTTTAAAATTAAATGCCTTGCATGGCATGTTAAACTAAAACTCCTGTTTGATTAAAAAAAAATGCATAATGAAAATGCATGTTATTGAGTTTTTTATTTAAATTTTTTTGATTTGCTTTCGAATTTTTCTCAACTTTTTTTTGCTAAAACTTTAGTTATTCTCGAAAACTACTCCGATTTTAAAATAATGGTATCGATGGATAGACTGCCTTGTGTGCCTATCTAACTTGTGCTGCCTATCTGTATAACTTGTAGGCCTGTTAATTTACAAGTGAACTTACTTCTAGTTTTATTTAAGTTTAAGAAAAAATCTCAGGGCAAATATTTTAATTGCTTTGAAAACTTTTTGCATACAACAGGTTAAGAAACCAATTTAGTAGACTTTGTTAGTTTTCCTGGATAAACATCACAATTTATTCTGCTTTTTCTTACCGATTAGTTTGAAAAATGTTGAGGAACTTAGTATTCGGGCGTGTTTTAGTTTTTTATTTCAATTTTTATTTCAACTATAAGCGAATAAAGCCAGCGAGGAGCAAGCAAACTAACAACAGCTTATCTATGATTAAATTAAGCCTTGAAAATTTAGTTTTAAGCAAGTTAAATTAGTTTTTGAGTTTCTAGCGCCATTTTGGGAACAAAAAACATAAAAAATCAGATTTTTTTAAGATAATTTTTGCAGATATTTTTTTAACACTTAGCCTATATTACTATGACTGTGAATATGCATTAAATTATAGATTAATGTCAGATAATTTTATCACACCACTTAGAGAGAAAAAAGACAATGGTCGGAATATTCTGTGCTACTTGCACAGTAACAGGTTAGCCTTGCCTTTTCTTTTGACTTTGAAGGACCTGTTTATGAAACAAATGAAAAACATCACGACTTAGACTGATGTTCTTTTAGACTTAATAACTACAAGCAAGATTAGAGCAGTCATAATTCGTAACCCCTTAGAACCTGAAAATACTCTGACAGCCCCCACAACAGAGTTGGGAAATCCAAAAATTGAAGAAAACTTCAATTTAAGTTTTCTGATAAATTTTTTTTTTAAATCACAAAAAAAACGTCAAACTCAAAAACTACAAGGTTTTCAGCAGTCATATTCAGGGAAACTCCTGAGAGTACCCTCTTGAGATTTGCAACTCCTGAAAGTACCCTCGCAGTTTCCAACTACAGGATTGAGAAGTTTTAAACTTTTTTAAATCTAAGTTTATTGAAAATTTTTGAAAAAATCATAAAAAACGTCATTTCTCGAACACTACAAGGATTTGAGAAATGAGATTTGGAGGCACGATTCCCAACCCCTGAGAGTACCCTGACAGCTCCCAACTGCAGGGTTGAGAATTTCAAGTTTTCAGAAAATTTTAAGAATTAAGTTATCTAGAAATTTCCGTATCTCGTAACCTAAAAGGATTTGGTTATTCATATATGGAGGCCAAAATCGCGACAACCGGGGAAACCTGACAGCATCTCACTATTGGGTTGCTTATTTCAAACTTTGGGAAATCAAAATTTAATTTAAACAAGAAAATGGGAAAAAAATCTTAACCATTGCAATATACGCTATAGCTTAAACGTGAAAAACTCTTTCAGTAAACATGCAAAATATTACGTTGAAAAATCTTAAACACGGCGAGATAGTGAAGCACGAATTTCAATACATAACTAGCGTGTAACGCACCTCCGGTGCTTCGAACTTTTGACAACTCATGGAAACCACATCTGTAGGCTTTTAGTGTACTCTGACAGCACCCAATTACATGGCTGGTAATTTGATATTTTGTATATTTTTCAGTTCCTATTTTTCGTCATCTCGAAAAAACCAAATCTCGCACGTCAAGTCTTCGCAACTAAAATGATTTCATCAGTCACGATTTGTAAAGTCTGAGAGTACCCTGACAGATTCTAACATCATAGAGTTGATAATATCAACTTTTTAAAGTTTTTTATATCTAAGCTATGTGAAAAGAGTTTAAAATAATCTTAAAAAACGTCACATCTTGGTAGGTAAAAGAATCTGAAAAGTCATATTTTGAGGCCAGACTTGGAATTCCTGAGAATAACCTGGCAGCACCCAATTACTGAGTTGATTTATTTAACTTTTGCAAGCTTTAATATAATTTCTTTTAATTATTTTTTTGAAACAATCATATTTTTTTAAACCACGAAAAACAACATATCTCGAAAACTTCAAGGATTTGAGCGTTCAAAACTGGACGCAAGATACAAAACCCCTGAGAGTAATCTGATAGCTCCCCAACAACGGAGCTTGGAATTTGAATATTTGAAAAAAAAACTGATTTAAAATTGTGCATTTTTTTTTGAAAAAATCACAACAAACGTCATTGCTTGAAAACCGAGAGAAATCGAGCAGTCATAACTGGAGCCAAGATTCGCAGAGTACTCTGATACCAACCAACTACAGGGTTAGGAATTTCAAAATTTGATAAAAAAATATTTTAAAATTCTGAAAATTGCATGGAGGCAAGATTCGCAATCCTTGATAGTACTCTGTTTCCAAGTATATGGTTGCGAACTTCAAGTTTTGTTAATTATTTTGTAATTTAAGTTTTCTGAAAACTTTTGCACAAAGCTCGTCGTATCTCGTACACTAAAATGATTTGGGCATTCATAATTTGGGGCCAAATTCGCAACCCCTTGGGGAAGCCTGACAGAACCCCATTATTGGGCTGTTAATTTTAAACTCGGTGAAATCACCACTAAATTCAAACTCAAACATCAAAAAAAAATTCTTAACTATTGCAATATACGCTATAGCTTAAACGTGAAAAAGTTCTTTTATTAAACATGCAAAAATATTACGTTGAAAAAGCTTAAACATGGCAAGATAGTGCAGCCCATATTTAAATACATAATAGATTGACACTCTTGAACAAATTTTTTGGCTTTCCTGCACTCAACCGAAAACCACACGACACAACCTAAATAAGTTAAAAATCGCCCCGTTCATTAACCGTTCGAAGAATTGCTGCATTATGTCAATTAGGGTCGCCTGTTTTAGCGGAATGAAACTTCCCACTGAAATTATTTCGAGTTGTTTCAGCAACTGGTCCAAACAGTGTTACCAAGTTTCATAGTGAAACAAGTCGTTGGTAGCGAAAATGAAAAAAAAATCGTTGTTATTTTCTGATTTACTCATTCTTGCTTATTGAAACTTAATCATTTATATATTTTTACTCAGTAGTCGCTACGAGTGTTTAAACAGTTATTGCACCCAGACTGAACGGTTTAGCTCTAGATTTGCAGATTCATACATGCATAGTAGACAGGTTGATAGTTGAATCGGTCGTGGCGATCGATGGAAAGGGAATGAAGATTAGGTGTAGTAGTAATAGGACAGGACAGAATTATTACTCACGGTACACTTTATTCACAGCACACTGACTGCTGCTGGCGGCTTTGGAGGCTCCGCTGCCTCTGCTACTACTTACAGCACCCGAGGAGGAGCCTTTGGATGAATCATTTGGACAACCTGTGGCAGCTGCTCGAGCGTTTTCTAGCCAAAGTAGCAGTTGTGTTATCCATTAGTTTACGTTTGATAGACAATTTAATCTTCTTTTTTAATTCAGCAAGAATCAAATTATTAGCTTTTCAAGTAAACTATCAAAACGATAACACGGAGAGGAGAATAAAGAACTAAATAAGAAATTTTCGCAATGACGATACAACAATACATTTGATTCCGAGAGTGCGTATTAAAAACCAGTCAAAACATTACAACTTAAAACACGGAAAACCGGTTGCTGTGCAAGTAGCACAGAATGTTCCGACCATACAATTAAAACAATTCAACAAAGTTAGTAGAAAAATAAGTAGAAAAACGAAACAAAAATAAAAAACACATTTTTCGAACGTTGCAGTTCTTTTGAATTTTTGAAAATTTTGATTCCAAAAAGGCGCTAAAATACGCAAAAAAACTAGCGTTATTCAAGTAAAACTAAATTTTTACGTTTTAAATTAAGCTATTGCAAGCTTTTAAGCAATTAAAATGTGACTGCTCGCTCGTTTATTTGCTCGAAATAAGACGAAAAATCAAAAATTTCAAACCGGTCTTTCTCGACACTGGGGAAATTTTTTTGAAGTGGTTCGACTTTAAGGGCTTTAATATGATAGATCACTCAACTCAGTCCGATTATTATTAGTGATACCTGATTTTGCGTGGTAAAAAACTAAAACACACCCGAATACAAAGTTCCTCCCCATTTTCAATGGTCGGAACAAAACTACCATACTATTTATTTGGTTACTCTCGTCAGAAGCAAATTAGGCTAATATATCATCCAAACTTCTCCTTCATGAAACCATGCTTATTAATCTATTCCTTAGAAGATTTCTGTTGAAACATGGAAAGTTGTAACCACTTCATTTAATATTTTAAAACAAGCTTAGAAAAATTGAACTTTTCACTTTTTAGTGACTTTTGCATTGTGTCATCAAAAAATTTAAAATGTTCAGTTTTATAACGATATTTTTGCAAGCAAATCTTTAAACAGGAGCAAAACGAAGCCTAGCGCTATTTAAAAAACCAAAATATTAAATTGATTTAGAAAACAAAAATCTTAAAAATGGAACAATATTCAGAAAATGGATCAATTGAGCAATCTCCCCCCATAGCTCAATAGGTACTTGAGATATGTTTATAACCACTTGAAAATAGTTTGAATGACATGAAATCATATAGCATATTTTCCAACGACTGTGGAAAGCCAAAATTTACAATATCAAAGCTCAAAAGTTTCATTCGGATTGAAAAAAGAATCAATAAAACAGCCATAAAAAGCTACTTTTTTCCTTTCTTTACATGACGAAAAGTTTTTGCGAACAATATTAAGGTGCTGCGGAGAACCTTTTTGCAATTCAGATACAAGGCTAGAGCACCAACCCTGGTAAGTCGCTTTATTCGATGAGGCTATGGTCGCATAAACAAAACTTTGAAAAAAAAAAAAAAATTTTGATAAATTTCGATTTTTTTTTTCAAATTTTTTCTCGATACTCATGTAAGATAAACTTCAGTCGGTCAATTGATTGCGTGCTATAAACACATCATCCATCTACTTGCGTTTGCTGACGTCTTTTTGTAGAGTTTATTCGTTTTTGCTGGGGGGGAGATCGCTCAATTGGTCATTACGGGGGGGAGATTGCTCAATTGATCCCAGAAAATTATTATTCCGAAAAATCCATAACCTACTGATAAATCTAAACATTGCAAACAGACAGCTAGCAAAGTGCCAATGAATGCAAGAAAAAAAAATACTGACTTGTTTTTCAAACTTCAAAGAAAAAATATATGGCTTTAAAGCTCTTTGAATTTCAAGAAACATTTTTGAATAACACCTTTTTGATGCAATTAACCCAATTTGAGAAATCTAGATTTGAGCTTGAACAAATTTTAAGTCTTTTCTCGACAGAAAAAACCATCATGACCTATATAAGAGTATGAACAACATTCATCGACTCTTAAAAACAAAAACATAGCCAACTAACAGTTTGGAAAGAGTAATGCACGCAAGGAAACTTTAAGAAAGTGACTTGTTTTTTCAACAGCCTTCAACTTTTGAATTTCGAAGAAAAAAATAGATGGCTTAAAATTCAAATTTGAAGAAAAAATTATGATGGATATTTTTTGCTAAAACTACCCCAATTTGAGAAAACTGGATCAATACGTAAAACTTTTATTTCGCTGGGAAATCTGATAATTAATTTCCATTTTCGAAATCAGAAGTCGATCACGTTTTTCGTGACCTTTACTCTTTTGCTGTAGGATAGTGGAGTTTGCAAAAAATGGAATTGGAAATGCACTAACATAAAAATAAATCACAAGTCAAACCGCGAAAAATTAAAATTGAGCGTGAACAAATTCTAAGACTTTTTCCTGAAAAAAAAACCGAAAAAAATCAGCAAGACCTATACAAGAGTATTCACTACGTCACTACGTTCATTACTCTGTAAATTCACGAAGAAATTTATAAGAGTATTCACTAAGTACATGCTTCATAATATTCAAGGATATTTAATGATGTAAATTTTTTGATAAACTGACCTAATTCTAGAAAGCTGGATCAATAGATATTTCGCAACATAGTTTTGGTTAATGGAGAGCGTAATCTACCGTCAATTTGGTCAAAAAATTATAGCGAGCATCAAAAGATATCAAAATCACGCTGCTACCGTCCCGTCCCCCACCTGATTCAAAAATTAAAACTTAACGTTATCCAATTGTCATGAAAGTTGATATGTGAGATAATTACGCAAGTAAAATACATTTTGTACTGACATTAAATTCTATAAAACCAATGGCAACACCGTAAAGTTGATGTTTCTATCTAGTGGTGGGCGTGGGGCGTACGGTGATACAGCTCTGAAAACAAGTTATCAAAAAAATGAGCTTAAAGGAGCAAAAAAATAGGGAAGTATCAAAGTGTTTTGCGATACATAATCGTCCGCATTATTTCTTTTTGATGCTAACACTGCCGGATAGCCCATATACGAGATAACCACAGCCTATTCGTACATTCGCACTAAGTAACATACTCGCACATTCAAAAAAATTAAAACTTCGTCAAAAGGTAAATATACAGGCTACATTGATTGACAGCTCACGTTAGGAGTAACATATGATGTTAAAAAGCACTATCTACAGGATGTACGGTCAAGTTCAGGTAAGGCCAAGTAAATAAATCTAGGCAGTCTAACACAAAAAATTTATTCTGTCTACCAACCGGCAAAGTTAAATGTGTCCTTTTCTGTAAACCCAAAACGACAGCATCAAGTTTGTTCGTTATCCAAATATATCATATACTAAATTACCTTTTTCAAATTTATTACCCAATCAAAATAGAAAAAAGTTAACGTTGAATAAGGATGATATACTACTCACTTGCTAGATTGCGACCTGCGACAGTCTTGGCGCCATCTTTCTTCCTAGTAGTGTTCTTCGTCACAGTTCGTTTTGTAGAGGTTGAAGCCGGTGCATTTGCACTACTGACATGCCCTGGTGAGGGTTTCTGTGGCGCAGCCGCCCCCGCAGCATCAGAAGCCCCCACTCTAACTGTTGTGCCGTTGGAATTACCACTGCTGCTTCTGCGTTGCAGGTTCTCAACAGATCTTCGAACACAACAAAAATTCAATTCAATATCCAGTCGTATGAATAAAAAACGAAATGTGCGAAATTTCAGAGATTTTTTTTTGTAGTGAAAATCAAGCACAACAAAAGCTAATTGTAATTAAAACAACAATAAACAGAGTCGAAGCTTAGCTTCCCAAACACAAGCAAAAACCCGACAAAAAGCAGCTCTATAAAGGCAATAAAAAAAGCAGAAATAAGAATCGAATTAGCAAAAATTCGGCTACGTCTCGGATACCATCTGCGACTAAGAGATTACGAGTCTCATGCACTAAGCAATGAGCTACAGACGCTTAATAAATCACAAACACTAACCAAAGATAAAGCTGAGAACAGATGCTAAGAAATTTCCAATGCTACAGATCGTGATTATAGCAAAATTACTACTAATTAAGTAATCACTTTTAATGAACACTTTTACTTGCGAGTTAGGTTGGGGAAAAAGAAGGTGCCTACTAATAAACTATGTTTGCTAGTGTAAATAACGAATTAAATAATTTAGAATAACGAGGATCCTCAACTCAAGAAAACAACTTTTTCAAATACTTTTTGAGACAAGCAGATGACCACTGATTGTGATAGTGTGAATGCAACAACTAAGAGTAATCAACCTAAGAAAAAAATTAGCCGCTTAAGACTGGACAAAAACGCACACAAAAACGGTTTGACTCACTGACCTGTGGCGACCTCTTTGCTGGATGTTGGTCAGATCTGAAGTGGAGGATGACCCGGCAGCCGGAGTCACTTTAAGGGTGTGTATAGCGTGTTTCTTACTGCTCGCTGGAGCCGATGTGTGCGTTTTTGCAGACGAGGAGTAGCTCAGGATCTCTTTCGCAGAGGTCTCCTACACAAAACAATATGCATTATTGGCATGCATCATCAAATCTACTTTCTTTTAGATTCTGTTTATATCTATTTCAAATCTAGAGCAAATCGACCTCAATCGAACGCATATTAATTTGTAATTACAACAGAAAACTCATCAAGTTATCTTCCACAGTGATCACAGTATGTTCGTATAAATCATCGGCAAAAAGACTATTATCAACTTTAGCTTACGTGGATATTGGGCGGTGACTTTGGATAGAACTTGGATCCAATAGGGTACGAACTGGTCTCTTCCCAATATCGGATGCCTGGACTAAATTGCACTTCCAATTTGTAGCGCTCCTCCGATTTCAGATCTGAAAAAAAAGACCAATACCCTAAAAAGTAGTTTATTCAGTGCAAAAGTCGTATTTTCAAAAGTCATTTATTTAAGATGTGCTCAGCTACAGTGCTTTATTCCGTGCGAACATAGCATGATAATTCTTTAATTTGTAAAAAAAATTGGCCCTTTCTGAGTAATCTTTCAGTCTCCTTTTTCTCTAAAAGTGGTTATAAAAACTAATGAAACAAAACGCTAAAAATATCACCTCGAGGCGAAATAGCACTTCGCTAAGATAGACAAAAAACCAGTTAGAAAAAGATTTAACTATTTTTTAAGAATGTTGGTCTCACACGAAATCATCAAGAATCACCACCCCGATCTACCGCCGGGATAAATGAGAAACGCCCTATGAAAACACTTTGCAAACCTTTGGTTGGATCCTCGTATAGAAGAAAAACTAAATGGGAGAGGTAGTTAAGTTCAGTGACAGTGGACAGGTACTTGTCTGCGGCCGCCCACTCCTTGTCCGGATCCGGGAACAGTCCCCCATAGCGGATGATGTTCACGAGTGAGTGGATGTGGCTCTCACTCGTGAAGTAGAGTCTGGTGCGCACTTGTCTGTTGGGCGTCAAAATGTTCTCAGAGTACCTACATTGCACAAAAAAGACCAATCATCAATCTTGCATAGCCAGAAGTGATGAAACTGTTGAACACATGTGCATGACAATGATGAAAAAGACAACTCTTCAGGCAGATTCTAGTCCGTTAAAAATTAATTCGAATATTTATCTAACATAGCCAATCGAAGATTGAAAAAGAGTAATGAACGCAAGTAAACAAAAAAAAAACACCGACTTTGTTGAAAAAATCTCAACTTTCGTATTTCAAAGAAGAAAAAATAGATGCCCTTTAAGCTCTGTGAATTTCTGGAACAATTAATGACTGCCATTTTTTTGATAACATGAACCTAACTAGAGAAAACTGGGTCCATAGGTAAAGTTTTTATTCCGCTGGAAATCTAACAATTAAATTCCACTTTCGAAACTAGAAATAGTTCACGTTTTTCGCGCCATTTCCACGTTCGTATTTGGAGAGAGCTATTTACGTCACTTTCTTCAGATGATTTTCAAGTGAACTCAAAAAGTTCATATATACCTAATTGCAATCATAAATGCATCAATATGTATGAATGCTCATCTGTAGTTATTAGAGACTTTTAGGACTTTTCCTGAAAAAAAAACTCTCTACGTTCATTACTCTTTATCAAGACATAGTAGATAATATAAGCTTATAAGTAAAAGTATCAGCAGGTTAGTGACTAAAATGCATCTCAGACCGAAGTCAAAAACACAATCACAGGCATGAAGTTAAAGACTGTACATGATGAGTAGACTAATTATTGCGATAAACTTATTAAATAGTTTTAGGTGAGACTTGGCTACTGAAACACCGATTTCCTTTGAAGTCCACTTAGCGAAAATGACAGTGACACAAAAGTGCAATTAGACAAAATCCACATAATCTGCAGTAGAAAAAACCATCAGCAAGACGATTACTTCGATAGTGAATGGTACAGGTGAGTTTCCAATTACATTGAGCGCTTTTAGAAGCTACGGAAAAAACGGAAATGGGTTGTAGACGAAAATGCTTCGCTCAGCTCAAGAAAAAATGAACTGATGTCAAATGCAAAGCAGAAAAACTAGAAACATAAAACAAAGAAAAAATAGAACTTTGAGCAAAATTGGATAAAAAATCAATGACAATGAACAAGCATAATCAATCAATCAGAGAGAACAAAGTGTGAAGCAGAAAAGTTAGACACAGGGGCGGATTTAGGGAGGGGGCGGACGCATCTCCCTCAGGGATTCGATCCATTGCCGACCCAAAGGGTCACCCCCTTTGTACTATTTTGAGATATCCATTTTTGGCCGACTCACCCTAAAATTTTCCTACAGGCGCCTTTTGCGCCAATATTTACTAATTTCGAGAGGGAGCGCGCCAAAAAAAAACGCGATTACTTGGTCAAAATTTTCCAATAATGCCAAAAAACGCCTTTTTAGGCCTATTTTTTTCAAAATTTTGCCTGCGGCCCAGAAAACTTCGAATAAAACAGGGTCTTTTCAGTGCTTTGGAAGAGCTCGGAAAATCAATTTGGTCGACAAATTTAAAAAAAATGTCGACAAATTTTTTCGGGAGAGGGAGAGTTAAACCAAGTTTATTGTTTGTACAAAAGAGGCGATGCTTTGAACACGATTCACAATAACCCAAACATTAGCGAAATCAATAACCTTTGTAATGAAGTAATTGATTTGGACCATAACATAACGGATGTTAAAAACTGTTTTTGTTGATAAAAAAAACTTCAATATATAGCACTAATCAAAATGACTCAAACCATTCAATTTTGGTGAAGCGATTATTATGCATCTGAAAAAAAGATCACTGAAAACATAATTCAAACGATTGACGCATTAACAACATCTATAGATTTTCTGCTCGATATTTTGTCTAACCTAAACATGGCAATAAACAAACAAAAATAAAAGCTGGTTAATTAGTCTTTATACTCAATTATAAACCTGAAACAGAAGCACTCATGGTTGGGGTGTCGTGATAAAAATGACAAACAAATGTTGTAAGCTGAACCAGATCCACAAGGCTCTTCGATCAAGGTATACTCGCTTAAGAAATCAGTTGTTATATGCAATTAACTTAACTTAAAAATTTCATAAGAAAAAAGTTTAGATCAGAAAAAGTCTTCAAGTACCTCTAATATGTCACACGTCAATTTCACCAAAGATACTGTGGAAAATGTATGTTTTCAGAATTTCATAAAAATATATTCTCAAATGGAGTATTAACCAACCAAATTACAGACAAATCTCAAAGTTGTTAGGCTCAGTTCATATATCAAGAAAACTTTTTTGTTTCGAAACTATTGAATTAGTAAAAGCTTTTGAACATTGCTTCTTCCCTCTAGAACAGAATCTGAAACAAATATATATAGCAATCGTTTTTCAGGATATACATTTCCTTATAACGCCGCATATGGTAACTAATTTTTGGAAAAGTTATATGATGCTAGTGAACACCACAAAACCAAATTGTTTAAAATACAGGACCGAAATGATGGTTAAATGCACCAAAACTAACCAAACGACTCGTAAATCTAGAAAACAAGAAAGTTGAAGATTAGAAAAATTAGTTTGCTAAATTTGAAATCTTGAGAAAACCATCAAAAGAATTTAACATTCCCAAAGAAATGGTAATTGAAACAAAGCCAATCGAAAATTGGAAGAGTAATGAAAGCAAGTAAACATAGAAAAAAAACACTTTGTTGAAAAAACCTCAACTTTCGAAGTTCAAAGAAAAAATAGATGCCCTTTAAGCTCTTTGATTTTCTAGAACGATTTATGATGGGCGCTTTTTTGATAATATTAACCCAACCAGAGAAAACTGGATCAACAGGTAAATGTTTGATTCCGCTGGAAATCTACAAACTAAATTCCACTTTCGAAACTAGAAATCGTTCACGAATTTTCCTGCCATTTGCACGTTCATATTTGGAAAATGCTATTTACGCCACTTTCAGCAGATGAATTTCATTTGAACTCAAAAAGTGCATACTTACCTAAGTGCACCAATATTTTAAGGCTTTCCTGAAAATAAAATCAGCAAGAACTATGTAAAAGTCTTCACTACGTTCATTACTCTTAATAAACGTAAAAATTCAATAGTAGTCTTAAAAAAAACGTATCAACTTCTGAACGATATCCTAGGCAAAACATTAACACTATCAAACTTCCATTATTGCCATTGTGTTTCTAAGTATGTGAAAATCTGACGGATGCTGATATTGCAAAATTTCAACTAGAGCATCAAAAAACAATCTCTCCTGACAGTCATACTACTACCAGATCGGATATTGAAAATAATCCTATCAATTAACACCAAAAAAAATTATACCAGAAGTTCCAAAACTAAGTAAGTTTGGTTAAAACACAATTGTCAAGTAGAATGAAAATAATGACATTATCTAGAGTTTTAACTCCTTTTCTATCCCTTTCTCAATAACAATTTTTTCAAAGGCGTTTTTTCCAGACGGCTTTGCAAAGCAAAGACTTTTGATCTTAAGAATGAAGGCTTGGTAACAGATGAACAAAACATCGACCTAAATATCATCGAATTGTTCGGAGTAAAAATATCAACAAGCAAGGAACAACCGCGTGTGAACGTACCTTGAACAACTCCATAATCAGCACAGCACAAATAGCTACTAAGCAAAGAAAGAAATGACCGCCATCCCCTGACGAAATAAACAGCTTCTTTGTAAAAGGCTTGTCATACAATTGTCTACGACAGACATTAGCAACTGCAATCAAGATATTTCAAGTCTCACGCACTAACCTCTCAACCACGCACGCTTAACCACCAACAAACACAATTCACGAGTAAAGCAGCTACATATGCTAATAAATTGCCAGCGAAACTGGCACCAAATACAAACAGACACAATTTTTCAAGTAATTATTTGAATAAAACAAACTGAAGGCATCCACACTAACTTTGCATGTAACAAATGCAAAGCATAAAGCCACCTTATGTAAAAATTATATTGAGTTAGAAAAATTATATTGAGATATATTGAGTTAGAAAATTTACTTTTGATGATTGTTGTTGTTGAAAAAAAAATAGCCTTTTTCGGTCAATTTGATGAATTAAAAATGCATCAACTGGGTTAACTTATTACTATTTGAATGTCAAAGCACATGCTATCAAAAAGCAGTAAAATGGCTCCAAAAGTGGCACCAATATTTAGGACTTAGATTGGAAAAAAACGCTCGTACTAAAACACATTCCTTCGCAAGTGTAATATAAACAGCTATAGGCTACACAAAAAAAATGTTGAGCCAGACCTAGTTACCTACATATTGGTTAATAGCAAACAAGTTAATTATCAACTTATCTATAACACTATAAATTCAAATTAATCACTTACTCCGAATTAACAGCCATAAAAGTATTCTGTCTGCAATTACTTAGACCTTTATCATGATTACTAGTTTCTTAGATTATTTAAAAAATCGATGTTCAGAATGCCATTCTGATGCACGTATACAACAGTCTCACTAATTTGAGCCCAAACTTTAGGAGGAGGCGAAGGAAATATACGAAAAAAAAACATTCGGAGAAATTCATACAAGCAACATGTCCAGTGTCAATGATTCCAATTGACAAATAAAATTTGGCTTTAATGCATAAAAATTGGTCAGAAAACGAAAGGTAGGAATATATAAGCTGCACTTCGCATTTGCAAGTCGCAAAGTAGGATGAAACAAATCCACTGTTTTCCAAAACTAATTAAGCTATCTGAAAATATTAAATATAGCCAACAGACAGTTGGAAAAGAGTCACGAGTGCAAGGAAATAAAACAACTGACTTTAGTTTTTGAAAAAATCAAATTTTAAATAGTATATACGGCCTAAAAGCTCTTTGGATTGCAAAGGTACTGAAGTTTACCCAATTTGACAAAACTGGATCAATAGGAAAACTTTTTATTACACTCTGAAATCTGAAAATTAAACACAGGGGAATTTGCACTTCGCATACATAAGCAAACATATGACTGATAACGCTACTGGGAAAAACTGAATGAGTAAAACTTTGAGTCTACAAATTTTCTTATGTGACGCACGCCAATTATGAGTCTACATAATTGCTTAGTGACGCATGCCAAATATATGACGCATTAGCAGTACCAGTCAATTTGAAAAAAAAGAAATTTATCAACTGACATGCCTCAATTTATAGAACGAACGTATTTTAACTAGTATAAGAAAAAGTTCGTTAAAAACATCCAAATCTGCCCAGAATCGAACCCTATTATTTTGTTGTGGGGCTCCTTCCCTACCTTTACGCTACAGATCCATGACATCTTGAAGCTAAAGTACTATTTGTATTATAATAGTCAGAGTTAATATCCATACCATTGGCTGTACTTAATAGCTGGTTTTTGATCAAAATGAACACTTTCAAAATGAACACTAATATTTGCGACTTAGGTCGGAAAAAAAGAGTTCATACTATCACAGAAGCATTGCTTGTGTAAATACACTTTCGAAACCTTTACCATTCGTTTTTCGTGACGTTTTCAATTTTGCTGTTCGATAGAGGAGTGTGCCTTCGTTTCAACGAAGAAAAAGTGAACTTAAAAAAATCAAACTTCAAATTGCGAAAAATCAAATTTAAGCGTGAGCAAAATTTAAGATTTCTTCCTTAAAAAACACCAAATCCTATAAAAAAAGTAATCATTACATTCATGACTCTTAATTAAACTAATTAACAACAAAACACTACATTAATATTAAACTAACTAAAATAAAGCTACTGAAAATTTTCTAATTGGCTAAAAGTTAAGCTAATTTAAAACATTTAAGCAAACAAAACCCTGAAGTTGATTATTTTGTTTTGTTTTAAGGTATCTAATGCAGAGCTAGAGAAACATAACATATGCAATATGAAAAAAAGCCGATAACTTAATAAAAAATGAAATTTCAATGCGATGAGTATATCTCAAAACTTTAAATATATTCCAAAAAAAATCCCCAAAAAAATTTGAACTGGTCAACTGACATTTGCAAAAGAGTAATGAACGCAAGGAAACTGAAAGAAAAACTGGCTTTTTTTTTCAAAAATCTTCAACTTTTGAATTTCGAAGAAAAAAATATATGACCTTAAAGCTCTTCGAATTTGAAGAAAAATTTTTTATGGACTTTTTTTTGTTAAAATTAACCCAATTTGAGAAAACTAGATCAACAGGTAAAACTTTTATTTCACTTGGAAATCTGGTAATTAAAATCCATTTTCAAAATTAGCAGTCGACCACGTTTTTCGTGACTTTACAATTTTGCTGTTCGATAGTAGAATTTGCCTTTCTTTTAACAATAGAAATGCACTGAATTTCTATGTGGAGCTTTTTTTGAATTGAAAGTAGGTTTTGCCTTTCTTTTAACAATGGAAATGCACTGAACTTTTATTTGGAGCTTTTTGAATTGAAAGTAGCTTTTAAGGTTGCCATTTTTTAAATAAAATTAACCCAAATTAAGAAAACTGAATCAATAGAAAAAATTGTTTGCGCCAATTGAAATGCACTGAACTTAAAAAGAAATCACAAGTCAAACCGCGAAAAATCAAAATTGAGCATGAAATTGAAAAAAAAACTAAAAAAAAATCAGTAAGACCTATATAAGAGTGCTCACTACGTTCATTACTCTTAAAAACACAATAACCTGAAATGATAGCACTTCTGTCGATCAACCGATGCGCTATCTACGGAAAACAGGTTTAGCGAAAAATCGGAAAAACTTCAGACCAAAACAAAATGTTTTAGAGAACGACGAACCGACTATTCATCATTTCAACTTTCGCTGAAATTCAATTTTAGCGGGAGATTTTATAATGAAACACTTTTTATATTACTGTAGTTTCTTTGGTAAGAAATTGATGCAAAAAAGTATAAGGAAGAATCGATACACATTCAGAGGAAACAGCTCACTCCATGCAACATTTAATTAGTTCAAGTTAATTACAGCCATGAGGTATTAGATTCCAATTTACAGTGATAATGATACTTCCTATCATTAATGCAAACAATTGATAAATTAATGATTTATTCATTTAATAAAGCTACGACATTAAAAACTAAGACACTGGGAAATGAGCCCATGGTAATTACCGAAAATCTTTGCAAAGTGCAAATTCTTATAAAACGTTTTGAACATTGTTGAATATAAGCTACATATAGCCAACAGTTTGTTTAAAAAAAGGCGTAAATCAATTTCAGTTTTTCAACATTCAAAGATGTTTACGCTTTTGTGATTTGTTCTACTTAGTTTGAAATTGACAATAGATTCGAAAATTTTTTCAGTTTCTGAGTTTTTGTGAAATGTTTGCGCTTTTTCAGTTTAAACATCGCCAACAGACAGTTGGAAAATAGTCAATGATCTCAAAGAAACAGGAAAAAACTTCGAAGAAAAAACTTTCTAATTTCAAAGAACAAAAAATATGGCATTAAAGCTCTTTGATTTTCAAGAACAATTTAAGATAGCACTAGCGATAACTCGACAAGAAAGCAACTCTAAAAAGTGAAAAAGTAGAAATAAGTCTCGAGTTAGTAAAATCTTTGCAAGGAGTCGGTATCGCACCTGCGACCTCGAGATTTGGAGTCTCACGTCCTTCGCTCTCAGCCACGGACGCTCTACGATCGAAAAAGACTTTTATTTGCAAGTTAGGTTGGGAAAAAATTAAAGTCACACTAATACACTATGCTCGAGTGGAGAAAAATGGATCAATAGATAAAGTTTATATCTTGCTACGAAATATAAAAATTAAGATCCACTTTCGAAACTTGAAGTCGATCACTTTTATGGAGATCTTAAAACGTTTGCTGTTCAAAATTACACTTTTGCTGTGGCTGCCTTTCAACAAAATTTAATCAGAAAAAAAAATCAAAATGCCAAAAATTAAAAAATTGAGCGTAAACAAATTTTAAAAATTTTCCTATGCAAAAAAAAAAACAAAACATCACCACGACCTATATAAAAGTCTGAACTATGATATTGACTCTTGAAAAACAAAATCCACTTCCGAAACTAAAAGCCGTTTACGTTTTCTGAGAATTTTATAGTTTTGCTGCTCAATACTGGAGTTTGCCTGCCTTTCTACAAAGGAAGTGAAGTGAACTTACCAGAGAAGGACATTCCAAGCAATTTTTTTTTGAAAATCCAGTTAACATATCTGAAAAAAGTAAAACTTTTTTTCATCAATAACAAATTATGAGTTCGATAGGAAGCCAATAATTAATATAGAGTAGAAGCTGTAACTTCGCAAGCACCAGCGAGAAAACGGCAAAAACTAGATCTAAAAGGAGTCAAAAAGTTAAAAAGGAAAGAAAAGGTTCAACTAATAAATGGCATGCATTGGCTGAGTTGAAACCCAACCTAAAGATTAAGAGTCAAATTCTAGCATCTGCTCTATGACGATTGAACAATCTTTAAACAATAGCCACCAAAAAACAGATAAAAAATGCATCAAAATTAAACCAGATATAATGCTATCGCTGCAAAACTGCCACCAAATAATTGAGCTTTTTATTTGCGACTGAAGTTGAAAAACATAGAGTCCACAAACTGACACCACGCTCCGATTGTTAAATGATACTTATAATCATAATTTACCAAGGGCTCATTTGAAATGACTCACTAACCTGCGTTCATGACAGCACACGTTGCATTGCATAGAAAGTAAAGTGTTTATCTCAAACGAAATTTTACCAAGAAGCAAGAAAAACAACCAAAAATCAATTTGAACTGATAAACATAGCCAACATATAGTTGGAAAAGAGTCAATGAACGCAAAGAAACAGTAATAAAAAAAAAACTCTCAGCTTTAGAATTTCATATAAAAAAGAGATGACCTTATAGCTCTTTAAATTTCTTGAACAATTTATGCTTGACACTTTTTTGATAAAATTAACCCAACTTGAGAAAAATGAATCAATAGATAGATCTCGTATTTCGCTGGAAAATTTGATATTAGATTCCATTTTTGAAGTTAGAAGTCGATCACGTTTGTCGTGACCTTTACATTTTTGCTGTTTGATAGTGAAGTTTGCCTTCTTTTAACAAAAGAAAAGAAGTGAACTTAAAAAGAAATCAAAAGTCAAACTGCGAAAAAGTATTTTTGTGCCTGAACCAATTTTACAATTTTTCTGAAAAAAAAAAACGTTCATCGACTCTTAAACTAAAAGCAACCAGATAAATTTCCAAATTAAATGGCGCACAATCTTTTTAACTAATTTCTGGCAAATGGCATAGTTGAATTTTCGTCTTCAATCTACATTCTGAGTTTGAATACTCGATCGTGCCTGGAGAATTTAGTTGCATACCAAAACTCAAAAATAAAGCTTTGAAAACTACAATAGGGGCATCGTAAGACCCAAGCCGCTTCTTTTTTGTCTTTTCATCTGAAACATTCAGATTTTGTTTTAACGAAAATGAACCAGTAGATGCTAACTTTGGATGCAGTCTGTAGGCCGATTGGTCGAGATTTCTCTGCAAATCACACCTGATCTTTCGCAGCAGAGGAGTGCACAGCTTCAACGCTATCTTGAACTTCTCATTTGCCGTCATCCCGTACTCCTGAAGCCCATCGATTTGATTACGGCACAACAGTCGTACTCCGCCGCCTTATTCGCTGATTATTTTATTTAAAAAAATTAAACGCCCTATTAAATTTTAGAGAAAGCTCCAATGACAAAATTGCTTCAAAGATTTGCTTTTCTACAAAGTTGAGACAACATCTCACCTTCTCTTTCGTTGATTCCGATAAATCGAAAACTAGTACCTGGGGAACGATAACGTCAGCGAGTGCCTTGGACGCAGCATACAACTCATTCTGACATGGAAGGGGGAGGTGTGAGTTGTGGAGTGCGTCGTATTTGATGCAGTCGTAGATGTCTGGAATCTTGGAGATGTCGAACATGTACTCCACTTCCCCTCCCCCACTACCCCCCGGGATACAGTGGACGTTGTGGTGCTTGTCTGAACAGCGCGTCTTAAAGTCCTTCTCCAGTTTACTCCACCTGCGTGCCATCATTTCAAACGACTCACTGTTGTATAGTGTCAAGTCTAAAAATTAAAACCATGGTTTATACGTTATTCTTTTTGAGCAAATGCATTCACAAAATAAACTTTGATACGCACAACTAGGGTTTAAACTTTGATACACACAAATTTTGTCGACCTTTTTTTTGGGGTCGACAAATTGATTTTCCGAGCTCTGCCATAACACTAAGTTACCCTGTTTTAGAGACAAATTTTCTGCGCCGCGGGCGCTCCTTCCTGAAAATTAGTATATAATGGCGCCTTCAGAAAAATTTTAGGGTCCGTCCGCCAAAAATGGATATCTCAAAATAGTACAAAGGGGGGACCCTTTGAGTCAGCAGGTGGTCGAATCCCTGGGGGGGGGGGGGGGGGGGGGAGGAAGGAGGGCGTTTGCCCCCCTATATCCGCCCCTGGTTTAAACTCAATTTAGCTTTTTTACAAGAAACTGCTCACTAACGAAACAACTACTTGGTTGAGCTTCGCTTGCTAATTTCGAACTAACTCTGGAATTTGTTTGGCACAACTGCCCAGTGCCTGATCTGGGCGGCAACCTTCTGAATCATTTGGTATACACTCTCACATAGCTGCACTGGGTTGCCGATCACCTCAATTGAATTCCGTAAAGAATGGCTACCTGTGGGCGCCAGCTGAAACCAGAAGTTAACATTTGCAATTAAAGCAATTGGACTTCTTCTCTTCTCTTTATATTTGGAACTGGCGTGCAGTAAGTTTTGAAAAGACAACAGAAAACAATTTAACAGTAAAAGTTGAATGTCAAAAGTTAGGCACGAATGCATGAAAATCAACTTTGACTGCTTCAGACTTCTTTCGGATTGAGCCCATTTCATGTTTGCATTCTCTTTGAGCCTACTAACTCACCGCCTCGGCGTCTTCTGCAGTGAATTTCTCGTCTTTACCAAACAGTCTCTTCAGTTTGACCTTGATATCTTCCTGTGAAGCGATCGGGTCTCCTGCTTCGTCTGTGGACTCGTCGTGATCCAGCAGTGCATTCGTCTTTGCACATTTCACCATGTGCACTAGAATAGGTGTCAACTCCCCATCTAGTGCTAGTAAGCCCTGTGAACAAATCATTCATTAAAAATTGCAGCAGTTACACAGAGGCGAAGCGAAGCTCCGCAAGACTTGCGATACAACAAACAAAAAAAATTAGGTAGAAAAAAAATGAAAAATATTTAAAAAAACAACAACGTCAACCAAAATTTTTGAATATCTCGATAAACGTTTACTCTTGGCAAACATACGAAGTCATACTGCATGGTACAGCACATACCACTATAATTAAAATTAATTTCAGCGCAAGAAAAATCCGTGAGGTGATAACTAAGACGACAAAACTCGAGCAGACAAACAGAAGACAGACTATTCAATTTTTACCGGCACAAATTTCAAGTTCATACATACTAAAACAAACAAGGTCCGGCCGGGACTCCAATCCCAGAACTTAGGGTGCAAAGGTGACCACATAACCACTGAGCCAAGTTGAAACGAACCGAAATTTTGTTAAGGTTCAATTACACAGAGGCGAAGCTTCGCAAACAGTAGCGAGAACACGACAAAAAGCAGCTCTAGTTAGTGTAATAAGAAAAAATAGAAAAAAGCCTCGAATTAGTAAAAATATGGCGAGATCTAAAATTCGATCTGCGACCTACTGCAATCTAGAGATTTTGAGTCTCACGCACTAAGCACTCAGCCACGCACGCTTAACCACTGACAAACACTAGTCACGAATAGAGCGGCTATACATGCTAATAAATTGCCAAAGCAATTCAGCAAAAGTGGCACCAAAATCAAAAACACACAACTTTGCAAGTAAAAATTTGTAATATAATAAACTGAAGACATCCTCACTATCTTTTTATATCACAAATCCAAAAGCATAAAACCACATTATGTAAAAATTATTTATTAAAAAACATTGCGAGATCTACTGAGATAGAACATTTAGGAAATCGAGTTTTTATTACTGGTATGGTGCTTGCACCAAATAGCATTTTTCGGTTCATTTAATGAACTAAAAATGCATCAACTGGGTTAACTGATTACTATTTGAATGTCAAAGCACATGTTACACAGAGGCGAAATTGCACTTCGCATACACAAGCAAAAATATGACTGATATATTTTGTTGCGGGTCTCCTTCCCTACCTATACGCTACATATCCATGATACCTTGAAGCTAAAGTGCTATTTGTAATTTAATAGTCTGTGCTAATATACTTAGCATTGACAGTTCTTAATAGCCGATTATTGATCAAAATGAATACTTTTAAAATGAACACTAATATTTGCGACTTAGGTTGGAAAAAAGAAGGTTCCTAATAATACACTAAGCTGACGCTAGTGTAATAAGGCAGGAAAGAGAAGCAAGTGAGATATGTAAGAAAAGTTGTTTACGTGAGAAAAGTCTTCTTCCCGATTACAAGACACATGCTCTCGCAAGTGTAAAATACGTCTGAATAAAAAATGAAAGTTTTGACAATAACTACTTTCAATTATTTCGCAAAAAGACCATTTGAATGAAATAACTCCTGCATCCATTTTAAAACACATGTCTTTGGTTTATTGAAACAGCAAACCATTTTTGTTTCTATTTGATTGTTCCATTATTGTATAAACGTTAAACTACCTTAGCAAAGGCAGCTGCCGTCATTTGAACTCTTCCCTCATCCGAAGCGTAGATCTTGAGGTCATGTCTGAAGGTGGAGTGCAGTCTCAACAAACCAGATCCATCGTCATTGTAGGAAGAGCCTCCAGGGTACATGCAGCGAAATGCTTTACCCAATGCCTCCGCGTGCACTCTTCCCAGCGGAGTCAACTCCCCTCCCCATTTGGCAATTAACAGGATCGACTGCTGGTTCACCGTGCGCTCTAGAGTAAACGAAAGTCTTTAGCACTTATTGCCTTGATCTACGCATCAGCAGTAAAAATGAACGATGAAATCAACAAACCATCTTCACTTGATGATGCTTTTGGTTTGTTTTTGAGACACTTCATCTGGACCTTCCTGTTGATGCCTGAGAAGTAGCCATACCTAAAAAACAAGAGAGTATATTGAGCGGGAAAACGCTTGGTTCCCCAGTAAATACTTTCTCTCTATCATCTCCCAATCTGAGAAGTTTAATATTTATACATTTTCACTAGGGCATGTCTCGAAAATTGTGTTTACATTTGAAGCACGCTCTTGAGCTGTTCCAGCTTGTGCAGATTCTCCTTCAGTTCGGAGTCCTTGTTCTCGGAGGCCTCCAGAAGACTGAGTACTGTGTCCAGGATGGCCTGCAGCTCCCTCGGCTGCTTTAGTTTGATCTTACTCTTAGTCGCCACAGTGAACGAACCGCCGAACTTAGCAAACAGGTCGAAGAACGACTGGTGGAACACCTGAACAAAAATAATTCTTCTTTCGAAATTTAGTTCATTCATTGCAACAGAGTAAGAAAACATTTTTTAATGGATGGGTGCGAAACTGCTAGATGCGCAACACTCAGGAAGTGAGAGGGTTCAAAGAAATTACCGCTATTTCACATTAATGAACTGATGGATTTAATTGTGCTAATATACCTCCATCTTCATCTTCTGCTTGGGTTGTCGGTCGCCATGACGTATAACTCCTATCACACACCTCAGTTCCATCATAGTTCCCCTTGTAGTGGGCACCACCGGGATTTCCTCGTTTAACACTGTCAGGTGCAGGGGGATGTTGAAGTCAGGCGCCATGTGCTTCAGCAAAATTGTGCTGAACAGAAAAACCTAAGTTACCATTTTTTGCTTTCGAAACGTTTAATGTTTTAATCCAACTTCAACTTTTAATCCAACTTCAACTTCTTTACAACTTGCATCATTTGTGCCGCCAACTGTGAGAACTTGAATCTCATCTATAGTGCCTTCTACAAGTACATCAGTTTCAATTAAAATCAATTTGACGATAAAGAGGACGGATATGCAGTTGCTAGACATACTTCAGTGTGTTATTAATGCTTTAGGTACTTGCCTGATGATCTTGGCACAGTCATCGTAGTACTTTGAGTTGTTCTTGACAAAACTAAACCCATTCACATCACAAATGAATGACTTTCCATTCGCGCGCAACAAGTCGAAGCCACACACAGTTTGCTACAAAAAGATAACAAGTTTCATGGAAATTCCTGAATGTAAAACTTTTAACTGCTTAATAACTGGAGTGGAGTAATACCAAATGTTGGCACAATGAGAACTAGAATTCCAGTACCTTCACTACTATGCTCTTACTTTAAACAACTGTAGTGTGCATCGTTGTCTACATTTGGGTTCCTTGTTATTTTACAAAGAAAATCACACTAAATTTGAGATCCTTATCTGAGATACTGTGATATAAAATTTACAGACAAACAAGTAACTCACTTTGAAGGCCAGTGAAATTGTGCGAGCAATGAACTTTTCAAAATGGGACAGTAGCACAGGGTATCGCACTTCCTTCCCGTTCGTATCCCTCTCCACTCTCCCGTCCAGACCGGGGGCCTTGCGTGCCTCCGCGTGAGCATACTCGGACCCCACAGCGTACACTTTGACATCACATCCGTCTGTTGGTTTGAACTCCTCGTAGATATAGGAGCCTTGTTTGCGTACTGTGCTGTCTGAGGAGTAAGTGCTGCTCACACTGCCAATCTAAGCACAAATTGAATCTTTGCACAAGCTCACACTTCGCTCCAACGATCAGCTTCATTGACGAATATCGAAAAGCTTAAAATAAAACGTGAATATTTTTGAAAAGCATAAAATAAAACAAAACAAAATAAAAGCATAAATAGAAAATTTTTGCACCTTTTTTGAGTAAGTTTCACTTCATTTTAGGCAAGATATCAGCATTCAGAAAAGTTAGCAGTCTAGTTTTAAGCTCTCTGGCGGAACTAATCCGACGATACTTTCAAATTTTGAATCAGACATCAGAGACGAGGTTACGAGCAGCGGATCACTCGCCGAACAATCTCCTCCATTACTAAGGACAGCAACAACAGTTCAATGCTTGTCACCTTCCTGAATAGACGTTGACAGCCTCCCCCAGCTGAACTCTGGAAATATATAGTGACGTTGTGATCCTCTGCATCCATTGGCTTCTCAACAAATGGCTTCTTGAACACCTTTCCATTTATTGTGATCTGGTCATCGTCCTCTACCACCTGATCATCGGAGAAGTTCGGATCCCGCCTGTCCAAGACTGCGTACCTTGGAACTGGAAGACCTTCTTTCTGCAGAATCTTGTACACTTCTCGGCTAGAAAAGGATATTACTTGAATTAATACAATAGTTGATCAGAAACCAAAATATTATTCGTTTCATAAATCGCAATACCATATTTTTAAAGGAAGACTTAATCGCTAGTTGAGAAAATGTGCGCTGAACTGACAGGAATCATGAGTTTGTGCAATTGCATACTATTCGAGGATTCGTGATTTTTTGGTGCATTCCATAGTGGTTCGATACTATGATAAGACAAGTTCCTGGCTATTGAATTGAGATTTTCATAAAATTTTTGGGTGCATCTTGCCAGTAAAATTACTTTAAAACTAGCACTGATGGAATGCAGTGTATGACTAACCGATCGAAGAGTACTTTCTGCATTGTGAGGTCGTTGAGGCAGAATGGCTGTCTGAGTTTGACGTATTCTATCGCTTTGTCCAGTGGAAAGTCAGTTGAGAAGAACGAGATTAGACAGTCCACTACTGGCCACTTGTCTACCGGCTCATTCAGAATGACCTAATTAAACAGGAAGGTGATTCCCAGGGAACAAACGAGCTGTTCATTTCTGCTGCTGAGCACATGATTTAGTATTGCACAAACTTCCTTGTCTCGGCAAACTGATACATGACTCGATAAAACCTCGCACAACAGAGATATAATAAACAAGAGTAGCCAGCTACTGTGCAAGTAGCACAGAATGTTCCGACCATAGTCTTACAACAGATTTTTTTGTCCAAATTGGTGTCGTTTTTTTCTAGGTGGTGTAAAAAGATCTGAACGAAAAACTGGAGCTTAGGAATATTCGACGGTCTTAGAAAAATAAGACGTTTGGAAAACAATTTTTGTAGAAAAACGACAAGAACAAAAAAATCAAATTTTTTTTCCAATTCATTTCCAACCAAACTTTATTCGAGTAAAACTAAGTTTTTACGGCTTAAATCAAGCTATTGTAATCCTGCTCGTTCGCTTTACTCGCTCAAAATTAGACAAAAAACCAAACTTTCGAACCGGTTTTTCTCGACACTGGGATTTTTTTAAATTTGGTTAATCACTACTGAAAAGGCTTTAATATGGCAGCTGATTTGACGTGGAAACCAAAAAAAAAGAAAAAACTAAAACACCCGAATACCAAGTTCCTCTCCATTTTTCACATGGTCGGAACAACAAAACGCGCTGCTTCTATTTTCGGCCTCGCATCGTATCCGCAACGGCTGAATCTTGATCTAGTTTACTGAATAAAGAGAGTAACTTACATCTTCCTGGAATATGACGATGTTGAGGTAGTCGAACACCTTGAGTCTAGTCAAGATCTGCTTCATGGGCTTCGAGTCCGTCTTCTTCTGCATGGCACAGATGCCAAGTGATATAGCGGGGATCTCGTCTATCTCATCCTCGTCTGTGATTCCGTCCGCATCACTCCTCGAACTGGCCCTCGAAAGGGGAGCACTTGGGGGCAGACTACTTCCAACAGAGTTTCCAACAGGACTCGGGATGTTGGAGCCAGAGCCTGTCGCTGCCACCAGCGCCCCAGCAGCTAGAACAAGATATCTATGTCATGAAACACAGTTGAGTGGAAAATGTTTTGAAACTAGACAAAAACATAAATTTAACAAGTATAGCCGGTTGCTGTTCATCTAGCACAGAACGCTCCGATCCCATTCATAGAAAAACTACAAAAAAAATGTTTTCCCGATTTTTCTTCAATATTGTGTCGTTTTTTGTAGGTGGTGTGATAAGAAAACTACTCAAACACGTATAAAAAATGAAAAAAAAAATATAAAAAAAATACAAAAAAATCAATCTTTTTTTCCACATTAAGGTTCGAAACTTTTCAAAAAACTTTGCCGAGGAAGCGCTAAATAAAGCTTCTACGACCAGGTTTTTTGTAAAATCAAGTCTTTTTCCAGATCAATTGACCAATTTTCATCAATTTTATATTATTCATAAATATAAAATTGATGAAAATTGGTCAATTGATCTAGAAAAAACTTGATTTTACAAAAAACATGGTCGTGGAAGCTTTATTTAGAAGCTTTATTTACACCGAGAAAACTTTTTCAAACATTTTTAATGTCTTTCAAATCACGACTGAAAGGGCCTAATATGATATATTAGACCCATTCCCATGATTATTTGTGGCACCTGATTTTGCATGTTGAATAAGTTGAATAAGGAACCCGAATACTAAGTTCCTCCCCATTTTCAAAGGTCGGACCAAAATCAAAATTGCCGATTATTTATTTTTCCAGAAATTTCTATGATTGAAATCTTGAATAAAAATGAAACACGAAGTTGAGCTATTCTTAAAAATGAAGATTAATAATTGATTGTCAGAGTCTTGAAGTGAAAGCGCAAAAACAAAATAAATCAAGTGAATATTTATATATTTTCAAAGCTTTTTTATAAAAAAAACTTAAAAAAGCCATAATAATAATTATAATAAATTAGTTTCCAAGTATATGCAAAACAAATACACCTGGGAGAAAGTCAAAGGCGTTTAGCATGTCGAGTGACGCCTCAAGAGCAAAGATAATTATGCTAATCATAATTCATAAAATTTATGCTTTATCACACAAAACTGCCGTCGAAATCCAAAAAATAAAAAGGAAAAGCCCGCAAAATATTGTTTATTTACCAAGTTGATTGCAGAAAGCGAAAAAAAGGAACACCACTTACCAGAATAATTCCAAAAAGTCTTTATTGTCTTTTATATACAGATCTCGAAACTGATGCAACATTTTTTCCATTTTTTTTGGGTCGTTGTCCTTATGTCCACTAAAATTGATTTATCAAATTTGATTTAAAAGTTTTAAAAAAATTTATTTCTGATCCTGAAGCTAATTGTTCTGTTTTGATAGGTATCGGTTTTTTTCTTCGATTTTAGTCCTTTGTTCCAATTAGTCCCTAAAAAGCAGAGCTCAAGCTCATTCACATGTATACAGTCGTTAAAGGCATAAGTGAGTGTAAATTCATAACCTGTTTCAAAAATAAAATTTTTAAAAAGTGAATTTCTATCGGGGAATACAAGTATATGCAAGCATAAATTCTCAAGGCACCTGATGACGAGGGATCTAAATTGACAGCCCTGTCGCCAGGTGAGAGCTCCTTGGTGATGCCTGATGGGTCCATTGGGATTTGAGAAGTTAGGTTGTGCTGTGCGTTTCGCAGAGTGCGGGCTGCTATCTCGAGGTTTCGCCGAGTCTGTAGTTGGCCAGTATCGTCAATTGCACTCGTGTACTGCATCAGCTCCTGGTCCACATCTTCCTATTTTCACATTAAATTGTTTTAAATGAAAAAATAACACTAGCATAATAACGATGTCAGCAATTATGGAACTTGTTTTTTATCTTCCATTTAATTCTAGAACAGAATTCATTCGTTGAAAACTATTTATTGGCAAGGTAAAGTGAGGAATGCCATTCCTTGTCTTTTTTTCTAATTCATCTGGGAGAGTTCAAGCAAAATTCTCCTTATTAATGTTTCCTGCGTTTTTTCTAAAATAGACATACTTGAATTGTGATAGCCACCGAAGAAGTAGTCTTCTTCGATGCCCTACTCGCTGCTGAAAATTTAGGGTTCTGCATAAGAGCTTAAAATCAACGGTTTGTAAATATAATGCAAATAAAGGTGTAACTTCAAATGACAAAAATGAACTATTATCAAGCAGAACTAAATGATCAGAAGATTAAGAATACTTTCATTTCTCATATTAACATAATCAGATTTAACTATGTAATTTACCATTGAAACCAATCGAACTGATTGAAGTCGAGTGTTGCATGCGTAATGAACTGCTGGTCAACAACTGGCCTGAGAATCAAAATAGTGAGCTCAAATATCTTTTGAGCACCGTGATATGGTATCTTGACATCCCACAATTACCTGATTAGCTCAACTTAACAAATTAGCTCCACAAAAATGGATGCCAATATTTTCAAATTCAGTTTATGTCAGCTCTATTCACATCGATTGCTATGAAATTGAACTCCTAAGTGACAGCCATCGTTTAGTTTAGAACTATTGAGTTTAAGCTAAGGACTGACAGCAGGGGAGTGTGATTATTCGGTAGAGCTCGTCAATTTCTTTTCTTTGAGCCCACCATGTTCATATTTCATGGCGGGCTTAAACAAACAAAATTGACGAGCTGTACCGAATAAACACAGCTGACAAAGAGGCGAGGCCGAGCTTCGCACCACTTGCGATACAATACAATACAGCCACTCAACCAAAATAAAAATCAAAAAAATCAGAAATGCCGAAATCCATCAAACGAATAAAAGAAGTATCAAAATTTCAAACAACACAATAGAAGGTTCAAATATAATCAGAATAAAACTTACCACCAAGCTGTAAACAAGCCAAAAATACCTGGGAAAAACCCTTTAAGCCAAAAAAATTCCAAAAAATTCGCAATTCCCTCCAACACACAAGCACACAAAAACTTTTTTCGCTCATCAGCGCTGAGATATGAGGCAGGAACTTATCAACCCGAGAAAAAAGAAAAAACAAAAAAATGGAGTTTAAAAAAGACTTATAAGCTAATAAAAAGTTGTTAAAGCCCCATCACCTTAAATACACACACGCACCAATTTTTTTTGCGCATTGAAGGACAAAAAATAAGGCCAATAAGCCGATATAAATTAGGCCGAAACTTATTAGACCGAGAAGAAAAAACGAAAAAAAAAGAAGTTTAAAAAAAAAAAGAGAAAAAGAATTGAAAACTGATAAAAAAAAGTTGTTTAGGCCCCATCCCATTCATTACACATCCACACACAATTTTTTTCTGCTTATTACAAGACGCAATATGAGGTTAATAGGCCGAAATAAAATAGGCCGAAGCTTATTTAACCGAGAAGAAAAGGAAAAAAATAAAATGAAATAAAAAAAACAAGTTGGCAAAATTACAACCAACCTAAAAAATCAAATTTTGAATAGGATCGATATTCAAAATGCGAACATGCTCAAAAGATGTCTGTTGCAGTTTTTAACAGAGAGAATACTGCTACAGTTCAGAGCGCAACTTGCTGAAAAAAGAGATCTTGAAATGGGAGATCATCCTGTGAACAAAGTTGTTTACCGGAAAAAAGTTTAGTACCTGATTGCAATACCCTTGCTTATCGCAAGTTAACAAGCTGTATTTGCTTATCGCAAGTTAACAAGCGAATAAACCTCAGCAAAACTCTATATCACCACAATTTTCCACCGAAGGCATCTCCATTTGACGATAAGGCACAATAGGAAGGATTCAAATGGATTTTAAAAAAAATCGTGTGGAGTTTTTGGTAACAAACTCAATGCCCTCTAAATATGCAACAGATTACGTTTAATTTTACCTAACCGTAACAGTTGCGTATTAAATGAAAACTAAATGATTAACTTCATGTTAAGAAGCCACGACGTCTCCAACTAACCTGATCTCCATATGACGAAGTTGGCACAGAGCTACTCAGAGGTGCACACACAGGCAATTCCAGATTCGCAAAAAACTTCTCTGAGGAGACTGCCAACTCACTTTTCCCCACATTAATTGACCGATCCGAGTTGTTTTCACGGAAATTGGACACATACTTTTTGAATTTAGTTTGTGACCGATATTCGTCAACGCCACCAGACTCCGATTGGAGAGGGTTCAAGGTTTCTTTAGTTGGGATGGTAACTGTGTTCAAATCATTCGACATAGACGGTCTAAACGGAAGAAGACTGAAAATTCATTGCACACTGTTCGAATCTGAGACAGAAGCAAAGGAAATCTGCGCTACTTGAACCAGGACATTCAGCTTAAAGTACTTCAGATACCAGATTGAAGGCACTGCCAACTTGGTAAATTAAACGCAACAGGAATTTTTTAATGCACTGTTCCGAAATCGTGTCAGCTTGAGGCAAAAAATTATGGAAACATAATTGAACTCAGACCCTAGATTGCAGCTTAAAACTGAGAGACTTTTAGATTGATTTGTTTTTAAAGAGTTTGCCAAACGAGTCCACAAATTTCAAAACAAAACAAGGGTATACAGTTGCAGTACATGTAGCACAGAATGTTAGAACCACAATCATATAAAAAAACATATATTTTTTTCTCTTCAGTGCGCGGTGTGATGAGAGAACTATACAAACGCGTAGAAAGTTTAGTTGATAAGGCATAATTGACAACATAAATTATTAACAAAAATTGCGAAGAAAGCGCATCTAGCGCACATTACTTGATCGGGTTACTCGCTCATTTAGATTAAATCTCAAGAAAATTGAAACCAATTTTTCTCGACATTAGGACAATTATTTTTGGGAAAATTAAAGGTCGTTCGCATCATGATTGAAAGGAATTTAATATGAAATATCTCTCGACCCATTCCGTTGATTAATTGTGGTACCTGACTTTGCTTGGAAGACAAATGAAAAAACCAAAAACATATCCGAATATAAAGTTCCTCCCCATTTTGAATGGTCGAAACATTGCAGACATTACAATACCCATCAAAATAAGAATCATTTAAATAACTTTTATGAATTTTTCGGATCACGCTTGAAGTATACTAAAAATGCAACTTCTCAATAAATTCGACCTCAATATCGACCTGATAATCATCAAACCAAATATAACAAATATAAATAAATATATAAGAAAAAGAATCAGCTTTAAATTATATTATATCATTGCTTCAGAACCCGTAAGTCAGCATTCAAAGCCACTCAACCACTTACCTTTGAAGTGATATAGTAATCGGTTTTGATTTCAGAGCAAGAGGCGTTCTTGTGACATCAGTATGGACTTTTTCGCTATTACTGCCCAGACTTTCCTCACTATTGGCCTGTTTAATGGCACCTTCTCCATCACAACTGTTGTCCATGAACTCCAGGTCACATGATCCCTCTTCATCCTCTCCTTGTCCCGGCACTGGACTCGCTTGGACGGGTTTGAAGCCACATCCCGGAACAGATATGGAAACCATGTCGGTGTCTGACTTCTGTTTATTGTAGACTATTTTCGACTGGATTGCATCTTCCTCCAGCACATTGGAAGCCATCTTGCAATTCGTTTAATCCTGTTTTGCCTTGAATTGTGACTGGATTACATTTTTATTGGTTCACTACTTTCGATTCAACTGAAGAGGAATAACCTCCGATGCCAGAGAACTTTTTTCTGTTGAGTTTCACATTAAATCTACAAATGTGTCAATTAAATAAGCTACAAATTGATTCTCAATACACCAAGAGAAACACATAGCTGAACCATTAATGGCTGACAATCAAAGGTATCCGTTGTGGCTTCATGCTAGGAGCTCGGAATGGTTAATTGGTCCGAAGAATGTGGGTAAAACATTAGCTATAGCAAGTATAGTTATAGCGATCAGAACCCCCGGCTAGTGGACTTTTACTCATTCACCGAAATTCGCATTTTTTTTTATAATCCTCATTGTTATTTTTCCGATGTTTCAATGCATAACTATTTATTTCGAACTATACTTTTTCCTTTTCTTTGTTCAATTTTTACAATCTGAGCTCAAAAAAACTCCGCCGGTAATTGTTTAACAAAGAATTGTTTAAAACGAAGCGAAGTGATTTACAAGGACAAGCTTGAGACTCATTCCACTAGTTAAATTTAATCCACTTTTGAAACGAAGCGACTCAAAACAAATGAAATCGACACTCATTCCATCAGCAATCTTTTCAATTGAAATGCGTTATGCCGGGGACATTTAGAACTGAAATCCACCCTTGAAACGAATTGACTAATACGGATGTTATCGACAAGATCAACTAACATTTCACAAAAAATCATTTAATTCAAATCCAGTTTTGAAACGAATTGCCTTACAAATAGACAAAATCGGCAAAAATATAGACGAGTTTTGAAACATAAAAAAATTTTTAAAACGCGTTGACTTAGATGGACGAGATTGATGACCATTCCGCAAGCAACATGGACGAGAGCGACACTAATTCCATAGGTACACTTTCAAAACAAAATCAATTTTTATTGTTATTGCCAAATTGTTGCAAATATGTTTTCAGTCAACAAATCTGAACTAGGTTAATTAATCTAAAACTGCTCAGTTTGACGACCAATTTCTGTTTATCACTGATTTCCACCCAAAAGACTGTCCAAAAAAACTAATTAACCTAAAATGCTTTAGTTTTTGGCTAATCAAATTGACCAAGGTCACCCGATATTGCCAACCATTTGGCAATAACTATAAATCAAAAAGATTCACACAGACAACATGGACACAGACGAGACCCATTTAGCAAGTTGACCATTCAAAAAAAGTTTTACACGGTGTCACGACTATTTGCCCGAAGTCAATTGGCCCTACGCCAACTTGCCCTACGTGGCAACTTGTCCTATGCCAACTTGCCCCACATGACTTGTCCTATGCCGGTCGGTACCATACTTAACACTTCTACTTGATTCTTTGATGTTCGAATTGAGGACCCGCAAGTGCTAATGATGAAGATAGACTCGTTTCGAGACTGGACACGTTTTAAGACAAAGACAATTTAAGCTGAGTCCAAGAAACCATAATTTATGTCAACTACACGCCAAAAAATACAATAATCCAAAACTAGCGCCAATGAAACAGAATGAAACACGGCTATTCGTTCATTTTTTGTAATCATTTTACCATTTTGTTCCTAAAAATCAAACAAATACTTACGTGATACTCAACGAAATAAACGAACGCTCATTATTGACGAAAACGACTTCACAAGAAAGCAAACAACAAAAACTACTGAGCAACGGAGCTGCGCAAGATACAGTTTTCACAAAATCCGCATGCTCACCGTCAAAGCACATGAACTGGTATCAATCAAAAATAAGAACAGCCATGATGTTAGACCTGAAAAAATTGAGACACACCAGATTAAGCATCAGATGAAAAAAGAGGCCAAGCAGCAAATTGTACCTCTCAATATTAGTATAGTTGCCACTTGTTTACAAGAAGTAACGGATGAGAAAGCAGTTCAATTATGCTTACCCAGTCGAGACCCATTTAACAAGTTGTCCATTCAAAAAAGTATTACAAGGTGTCAAGACTATTTGCCCCAAGTCAATTGGGCCTATGTCAACTTGCCCTATGCTAACTTGCCCTACTTGGCAACTTGTCTTAGGCCAACTTGTCCCACATGACTTGTCCTATACCGGTCGATTCCAAACTTACCACATCTACTTGATGTATCTACTTGATGTTCGAATTGAGGACCAGCAAGATACAGCATTCAAAGCCACTCAATCACTTACCTTTGAAGTGATATAGTAATCGGTTTTGATTTCAGAGCAACAGGCGTTCTTGTGACATCAGTATGGACTTTTTCGCTATTACTGCCCAGACTTTCCTCACTATTGGCCTGTTTAATGGCACTTTCTCCATCACAACTGCTGTCCATGAACTCCGGTTCACATGATCCCTCTTCATCCTCTCCTTGACCCGGCACTGGACTCGCTTGGACGGGTTTGAAGCAACATCCCGGAACAGATATGGAAACCATGTCGGTGTCTGACTTCTGTTTCTTGTAGACTATTTTCGACTGGATTGGATCTTCCTCCAGCACATTGGAAGCCATTTGCAATTCGTTTAATCCTGTTTTGCCTTGAATTGTCAAAACGAAATCAATTTTTATTGTTTTTGCCAAATTGTTGCCAATATGTTTTCAATCAACAAATCTGAACAAGGTTAATTAATCTAAGACTGCTCAGTTTGACGACCAATTTCTGTTTATCACTGATTTCCACCCGAAAGACTGTCCAAAAAAAACTAATTAACCTAAAATGCTTTAGTTTTTGGCTAATCAAATTGACCAAGGTCACCCGATATTGCCAACCATTTGGCAATAACTATAAATCAAGAAGATTCACACAGACAACATGGAGACAGACGAGACCCATTTAGCAAGTTGTCCATTCAAAAAAGTTTTAAACGGTGTCACGACTATTTGCCCCAAGTCAATTGGGTCTATGCCAACTTGGCCTATACTAACTTGCCCCACGTGGCAACTTGTCCTATGCCAACTTGCCCCACATGACTTGTCCTATGCCGGTCGGTACCATACTTAACACTTCTACTTGATTCTTTGATGCTCGAATTGAGGACCCGCAAGTGCTAATGATGAAGGCTGGACTCGTTTTGAGACTAGACACGTTTTAAGACAAAGACAATTTAAGCTGAGTCCAAGAAACCATAATTTATGTCAACTACACGCCAAAATATGACAAAAATCCAAAACTGGCGCCAATGAAACAGAATGAAACACGGCTATTCGTTCATTTTTTGTAATCGTTTTACCATTTTGTTCCTAACAATCAAACATAAATACTTACGTGATACTCAACGAAAAAAACGAACACTCATTATTGACAAAAACGACTTCACAAGAAAGCAAACAACAAAAACTACTGAGCAACGGAGATGCGCAAGACACAGTTTACACAAAATCCGCATGCTCACCGTCAGAGCAGATGATCTGGTATCAATCAAAAATAAGAACAGCCATGATGTTAGACCTGAAAAATATGAGACAAACCAGATCAAGCATCAGATGAAAAAAGACGCCAAGCAGCAAACTGTACCTCTCAATATTAGTATAGTTGCCATTTGTTCACATAAAGTAACGGATGAGAAAGCAGTTCAGTTATGCTTACCCAGTCGACACCAATTTAACAAGTTGTTCATTCAAAAAAAGTATTACACGGTGTCAAGACTATTTGCCCCAAGTCACTTGGGCCTATGCCAACTTGCCCTATACTAACTTGCCCTACTTGGCAACTTGTCTTAGGCCAACTTGTCCCACATGACTTGTCCTATACCGGTCGATTCCAAACTTACCACATCTACTTGATGTATCTACTTGATGTTCGAATTGAGGACCAGCAAGATACAGCATTCAAAGCCACTCAACCACTTACCTTTGAAAAGATATAGTAATCGGTTTTGATTTCAGAGCAACAGGCGTTCTTGTGACATCAGTGTGAATTTTTTCGCTACTATTTCACCCATTTAACAAGTTGTTCATTCAAAAAAAGTATTACACGGTGTCAAGACTATTTGCCCCAAGTCAATTGGGCCTATGCCAACTTGCCCTATACTAACTTGCCCTACTTGGCAACTTGTCTTAGGCCAACTTGTCCCACATGACTTGTCCTATACCGGTCGATTCCAAACTTACCACATCTACTTGATGTATCTACTTGATGTTCGAATTGAGGACCAGCAAGATACAGCAGTCAAAGCAACTCAACCACTTACCTTTGAAAAGATATAGTAATCGGTTTTGATTTCAGAGCAACAGGCGTTCTTGTGACATCAGTGTGAATTTTTTCGCTACTATTTCACCCATTTAACAAGTTGTTCATTCAAAAAAAGTATTACACGGTGTCAAGACTATTCGCCCCAAGTCAATTGGGCCTATGCCAACTTGCCCTATACTAACTTGCCCTACTTGGCAACTTGTCTTAGGCCAACTTGTCCCACATGACTTGTCCTATACCGGTCGATTCCAAACTTACCACATCTACTTGATGTTCGAATTGAGGACCAGCAAGATACAGCATTCAAAGCCATTCAACCACTTACCTTTGAAAAGATATAGTAATCGGTTTTGATATCAGAGCAACAGGCGTTCTTGTGACATCAGTGTGAATTTTTTCGCTACTACTGCCCAGACTTCCTCACTATTGGCCTGTTTAATGGCACTTTCTCCATCACAACTGTTGTCCATGAACTCCGGTTCACATGATCCCTCTTCATCCTCTCCTTGACCCGGCACTGGACTCGCTTGGACGGGTTTGAAGCAACATCCCGTAACAGATATGGAAACCATGTCGGTGTCTGACTTCTGTTTATTGTAGACTATTTTCGACTAAATTGGATCTTCCTCCAGCACATTCGAAGCCATCTTGCAATTAGTTTAATCCTGTTTTGCCTTGAATTGTGACTGGATTACATTTTTATTGGTTCACTACTTTCGATTCAACTGAAGAGGAATAACCTCCGATGCCAGAGAACTTTTTCCTATTGAGTTTCACATTAAATTTACAAATGTGTCAATTAAATAAGCTACAAATTGATTCTCAATACACCAAGAGAAACACATAGCTGAACCATTAATGGCTGACAATCAAAGGTATCCGTTGTGGCTTCACGCTAGGAGCTCGGAATGGTT